CTTTTCTCTGGCAACGAAAAATTGCCCACCACTATAAATTTAACTCTTGTCGTTCTTTTTATCCTTCATTCACACACTATGATCTTCTCAATATTTCACTCTCCACCCACTCTCTCTTCCCGGTTTGGAGGGTGGAAAAAAAAAGACGAGGGAGCTTTATTCGGAAAGCTCTTGAAGCCCCATTTAACTCTCTGCGCCACAAAATCACCCTCTCATCAATTTTTAATCACTCATCCCGCACTGGAGACGCGCTCCGCCACTAATTCACCCTCTGTCTAGACCCGCGAAAAGTGCACTCGCTGAAACTGCACAGAAGGAGACTCACACACTCTCTCTCTCTCTTCCTACATCATCAGCACCACAGGATTTATGGGGTGAGCGTGGAAAGACGCTCCCATCGTCGTCGCACACACAAGAAGTCCCCGCGCACTGAAGCCTCTCGCCAAGAACGTGGTGTGCTAAACCTCGCCAAGAGGATTCTAACCCCGGAGAAAGAGAGCGTGAGCAAAGGTACAAAGTGTGGCCCCCACCACACCCTCAGCCCCGAATGGGGGCATCGCTTGGCGCCAAGGCGCGCACATTGCGCCCCCAAGTGGTGTACAATGTGTGGGAAAACCACCCCTAAAGCTTTTCAATCTTCATGATATTTTGTGAAAATCACCAGCATTCAGTGTTTAAAACAATAAAAACTGTATTTAGGTTAAACATAACCTAAAAATGCCACTTAGGAAATCGAAATCCTTCATTTAAAGAACAATTTGAACTCGTTCTTCCTCATTTTCGCAAGTAAAACCGATTTATTTTCCTTAATTATACCTTTAAAGAGTTATAAATGTGATATTATCAAGATTGATTTTAGGTTATGTTGAAAATTCTGACAAAAGAGACAGTGAAAAGAGAAAAAAAACTAAGTTTAGAACAAGATAAGATATAAATTAATATAAAAAAGTCCAATAATTGCTGCAAACGTGTGTTTAGATTGAACATAACCTAAAAATGTTACTTAAGAAATCGAAATCCTTCATTTAAAGAACAATTTGAGCTCGTTTCTCCTCTAAAACAGCAAACTATGCACTTAAATGGTTATAAATATGTTTCTATCAAGATTGATTTTAGGTTATGTTGAAAATTCTGACAAAAGAGAGAATAAAAAGAGCAGAAAACTAAGTTTAAAGCAAGATAAGTTTGAAATAAGTATAAAAACAGTCCAATAATTGCTGGCAAGCCTGTGTTTAGATGAAACATAACCTATAAATGTTACTTGGAAATTGAAAATTTGTCATTTGTAGAACTTTTTGATCTATTTTCTAGCCTAAAGTTGTCAATTTCAGCTCTTTGTCACGTGATAACAGATCAAATTCGCCAAGTTTTGTCCTTAAAAGGCTCTGAATAAGATTCTCTCAAGATTACTTTTGAGGTTATGTTGAAAAAGATCAAGAATCAGGGGAAAATCAAGAATGATCAAGAGCCCAGTGTTACTCTGCGGCCAGCAGGAAGTGGTGTACAGCCTCCGGAGGCAGTGTCTGCGCCTCGCTTCGCGCCGGGGCGCCCAGAAGAGAGACCGCAGCAGCAGCCAGCGTGCGCCAGAGCGAGAGACACCCGAAACAGGAGCGCCTCCACGTACAGTGAACTGTATTAACGCGCGGCGCACGGCGCATGGGCGGCACGGAGCCTCCCGCCACCCCCAAACACAGTGCCTCTCGCTCGCAGGACTCCCCACATATCGACGAGCGCGTGCATGTTTTGATATGCGATAGCAGCCCATCTGGAGCGTCTGCTGGGTGGCCTAAGCAAACGCCTCTCAGCGTGCCGAGGATGCCATTTGTGGCGCAATTCGTTCCGCCACTCTCTCAATATTTAATGCCAATTTACAATCATGCCATTTTGGAGACGCACACACACACACACTGGGCTGAGATGCTCATGAAATTCCTAATAAGCCGAGAAATATCGCATCAGCAATGCTGACAAACATGCCAAAGTTTAACCTTAAGGGACACTTCCAGGTCACAATCACAATTGTAACTGAAATGAAGCTAGACGAAGCTTGACTGACACTGAATTCCTGAGAACTTTGTCAAGTCTTGTCAAGAAGGAGGAGTTTTTATGAGTGAATGACGCGTCTTAGTCCTGATTGAACATCTTCGCGCTAACACGAGAGCCAAAAACCTAGGCAAAGTGATTAGAAATTGAAATTAATTGAAGATTGTAGTTCGATTTTCACAGCCAGCAAATGTTAACCCGCCCTATTTTTGAGGAATCTTCATTATCTCAATCAAACATTTAAATATTGATTTTTACTTTCAAATTATCAAAATTAGAAATAGAAATAATATCTAAATATTTACAGAATATTTGATTAAAATTTATATTAAAATAGCAAAGAGTCACAAGATTTGCTAAAATCTGTATTTCAACACCAAAAATTAGGAGGAAATTCAATTGAAATTTCTACATGCCTTGGAAGTTTAAATTGCTGCCCTCTGGCGGCAATATGTGGAGAAAATAATCAAATATCAAAGACATGAAAAACAGTTTAAACAACTTAATTTCGTTATTAATATCTTAGCGTCAAAAGCATGTTTTTGGCTTTGACCACGCCCACTGAAACGCCCCGCCCAATTGCATTATTCGCCTGCTTGCTGCGCACTTCAAATGTGGAATTAAATCTGCATTCCGTTAATGCTTTAAGACTTTGCAGAGTTTCACGAAATAATTTCCCAGCCGGTAATATTTAAATAACAAGAAAGTTTTGCAAAGTTAGTCCAAACAATATTAGGCTTCCTCTCGCTTGTTCGCATTAGCTACTCATATGTTAATATAATATCCCGAATTACCAACAAACTGAGGACTTTGACAGTCAATCTCAGGGCTTGTCTCGGCGTGTCCTGCAGAAACAGGAGCAAGGCGAATATAATGGTGCTCCTGAGGATGCTGAGCACTTTCATTCAGGTCGAGGCTGTGTGAATAGAAAGTGGTTCAACTTCATCCGCACCGTGAACAACAGCCGAATAATGACTGTCGGTGGATTTCGGTTCTTTGAGACGCTTTGCCTGGCATAATTACGATTTGTTTACCCTCACGAACTCTCGGCCCACATTGCACGCAAAATTTCTGAACAAAAGTCACCCCCTTTGCCACCCCCGGAAAACCTCCTGTGCTTCTGTGGAATTTCTCCTCGAGGTTTGTGTGGAAAGCATTAAAATTTTCCCTTAACACACTTCTTCTTCTTCGGCGCTCATGCAACAGAAATATCAATCAAAGTTGATGGGGAAGAGAATAATAAAAAAAAAAGTTGTTGGAAGAGACAAGAAATAAATTGAATTCAATTCTGCAAGACACAAAATATCACACACACGCTCACAATCTTGAATTTCTCATTCTTCCAGAAGAGCTTCTTCCCCCTCTGGCCACCCACAGGGGCGCTTCTTGTGCGGTGGGGGCGGTTGGGAGGGAAAGCACAGGGAAAAGATAGAGTGTTGAATGGGTAAAAATCTTCCCCAGCAAGACCTGCAATTCACGCCTCGGATATTTCACATCCCTTCGCGATGCTTTTGTGTGTGTCTTTCTACTCCATCATCGCCACGGCAAACACAATTGGGGAATTTTTCACACAAGAGTCACACAAAACACACCGAAAGTCCACGATTTTTCACTTTCCCTTCGCGCCCACGCGAATCCGCAACACTTTGCAGGACAAGAACAGCGCCAAAGACGTCCTGTGACGCGATAATTGACGGTGTTTCCTGGCGAAGGAAAAATTGATAACACGAGGATAGCAACTGAAGTTGCGAGATCGATATATTGAGATGTGAAAGCTCTCTCTCTCTTGCTCTCTGGGAAAACCCCTCATTTTCTCTCTCCCTCTCTTCGGCTCTCTTCTCTCTCGCGCGCGCCGGAGCTTTTTGCCACCGAAATTCCATTGAACTTTGCATATCACACTTTACACATCGCAAAACGTCGGGAGCTTTTGCACCTTCTCCGCTGCTTTTCCTGCGGGGGTGTGGGAAAAATACACCAAACCACTTCTTAAGAAGTGATATTGTAAAAGTTCTTCCCACGGCAAATGCTGCGCGCGTGGGAAAAAAGGCGATGGATTCATTGGATTTGCCAAAATATCGCACACACAATGTGATTTATTGTGACGCTTTTCGCTCGGCACAATTTTCCTCCCATCGAGAGCGACGCAGGGAAATAGTGTGTGATGGAATAAACACTTCATGAATAAATATGTGCACTTATAAATAGAGATTCATTATGATCAAATCACATGGGATTTAATTAGGATATTTTCGTGAGGAGTATTTTTGGCAAGAAAATATTCCAAGAACGCTTGGAGAATTTGAATTAATTTTTCGCACGCTGGAAAAAATAGTTTCTCAGCGAGATTAATTCAATTTCAATAAGCTCAAAAACATATTTCTGAATAGAGTTTTCTGAGTTTTCAAATCTTCAGGGGTTGAAAATATTGATTACAGCTTAAATTACAGGAAAATTGCTTATAATTAGCAACAAGAAGTATGAAATTACGCACTGAAATTGACTGTAATCAGAAAAAGCACTGATTTCTTAAGTTAAATGCCAGATAAGTGCAAAATTCTCCGTGTTTTATAAGTCTTTTATGTGATGAATGCAAGCTTAATTGATAAATGTTGATTTAACGATCAGAAAGATTCTAAATTGACTAATTTTTCAGGGAATTTTCACAGCCTGAAGACTTAAAATGAATGCTTATTTTGATTGTTATTGAAAATGATTAAATTCTTTGCTAAAACACGTAAAATCTGGGATTAATTCGCGATATAAAGTTGAGCTAAATGACGAAAATGCTCTTATTTTATCAATTTTATACATTTTATCTATTCAAAATTGATAATTTTTGGTAATTTTGCTTAAAAGAAGCATGAAAAAGTCTTCCAAGTGCAAATTGAAAGCTCAACTGTCACTTTTCGAATCACTTTCCGCGTGAAGTGAGCGTCGCACCGGTCAATGACGTCAGTCAACAGTTGTTTAAGGTTATGACATTACATAAAATGTGAAATCGGGGAATTACACACTCGGCGAAATCCATTAAATCACCCTCAAGATGAGCGCAGAAAACAGATCTCTGCTGCGGAACACCTTGGTGGCATCCGTGGGCATCGGCCTGGTGTACATAATGGCGAGATACAGGCGGGATGTGGTGAGGAAGTGGAGAAGTGTCTGGACGTCAAATCCTCTGCAGAGTCAGACGATCGAAGTGGTAAACAATGTGGAGCAGTGCCAGAGAGTTGTGGAGATTCTCAAGAAGTGAGTCACTCTGGTGGGAAGTTGGGAGTGTTCTGAGGATTGTCGCTTGCCTTTCAGCCACTGTCGGAAGTTCCAGGTGCTGGGATTCGATTGCGAATGGGTGACAGTGAATGGCGTCCGGCATCCGATTGCGCTGCTGCAATTGGCGTCGCACAGCGGCTTGTGCGCCCTGTTCCGGCTCAGTCACATCCGGGGCATCCCGGCGGACTTGCGGGAGCTGCTGGAGCGCGAGGACATCATCAAGGTGGGCGTGGCGCCCAATGAGGACGCCAGATTGCTGTGCGCGGACTATTCTGTGCACGTGGCGAGTGTGCTGGACTTGCGGAGCATGGCGAATCTCGTGGGCGAGCAGCCGCTGGGACTCAGCAAGCTGTCACAGACGTTCCTGGGCATCGAGCTGGACAAAGACTGGCGCCTGAGGTGCTCAGACTGGGCGGCGCCAGAGCTGGACGCCAAGCAATTGCAGTACGCCGCCAATGACGCCTTCGTGGCGATTGAGCTGTTCAAGTACTTCTCCCGCAGGATCTCTCCCCGCCGCAGTCTGTCCTTCTGGGGCGCTGGCCAGAGTCTGCAGGACACTCTGAGCATCTGCTCGCCCTTCATCGACATCTCGTTCAAGTACAAGAGCGGCGAATCGCCACGAAAAGAGGCGCGAAGGAGTCTCCGGAAGAAGCCTTCAGAGTGAGTTGTGGCAGTGAATGTCCGGGAATCTCGACTAATTGTTGATCTTTCAGGGATGCGAGCGTGACGAAGGAGAGCAAGAGGATGTTCTCCACCAGATCTCGGCCGCTGTACTACAATTGCTTCATGCAGGCGCCGGATGGCGAGCTTCTGTGCACGATGGACGTCCGGAAGGCGGACTGGTACATCGCCAAGGGGCTCGCCGTGCTGGTGAAGCAGGAGCCCTACACGGTGCAGCTCACGTTCGAGCCCTCCGGACGCGCCGAGGGCAACGTGGGCGACTTCGACAAGCAACTGAAGGTGAATCAGTGCGTCGTCTGTGGCCACAACGAGTCCTACATCCGGAAGTACGTCGTGCCGCGTGAGTACAGAAAGTTCTTCCCGAAGATCATGAAGAGCCACTCCAGCCACGACGTGCTGCTGCTCTGCACGCCCTGCCATCAGCGCAGCAGCCGACACGATCTGGACCTCCGTCAGCGACTGGCGCAGGAATGCAACGCGCCTCTCGAGGCGGATCCCGAGGGATCAAAGTTCCAGGAGGACTTTGACCTGAAGAAAATCAAGTCACTCGCCTTGGCGCTCACGGAGCGCCGACAATCCATCCCGGAGGCGAGAATCAGAGAGATTGAACGCAAGATTCTGGAGCGTTTTCCCGCCTGGACGGAAGTCACGGACGACAAACTGCTGGAGATCCTGATGATGAAGACGCTGGTGCCCAATTCCGCCTTCCGGCCGCACGGAGAGATCGTCGTGGAGCACTTCAAGGCCGCCGCGGGATTGCTGAGCCTGGAGAAGCTCTGGCGAGAGCACTTCCTGACCACCATGAAGCCCAGCTTCCTGCCTTACTACTGGTCAGTGACGCACAACCACGAGCGACTGGAGATTAAGGCTGGCCGCGGACACGTGGATGTGGACGATCTTGCAATCGCAGGGATGGATTTGGCGGATAATCCTGATGTTCTTCCTGGACATTGAAGATGTCTGAATAAAGAGGTTTATTCACGTTAATTTGTGTTTTTCCTTCGGTAAAGCGGTAAATTGAATTGCTGCAGAGCTGATTTTCATGATTTTCTTCAAAAATCCTTCAGAAAATCAGGGAAAAACAGTGAATTTTGAATGAATTCAGCGAATTGCAAGAATATTCTCCGCCACTGGCTTGGCAATGCACTTGACCGCGTAAAATACGCGTAGAAAAGCGCGAATCGCGACGGCGCTGGCATGCCAGCGCGCTGCCAGACTGATATGAGAAAGACGGAGGAAAATGCGACGAGCAGAAATATGGAAGTGCTGAAAGCGTGAACGGAGTGCGTGAAAAAGAGTTTTCCCCGCGTGAAAAGGCATCTGTGGCGATCGGGGCGGCGTCTGGGGCGGTGTGCGAGGGTCGCGAGAGGCGATAAATGGTGGTTTAGTGAGGGTGAAGTGCGCGTTGCGTTGTCAGATCGAGTTTCGTGGGGGTTTTTGTGTCAAGCGGAGAAGACAGTTCGCGGGGTTCCGCCCAGTTGGGGGCTTTTGGGGCGGCGCAGTTGCCGATGGCCGAGCTGCTGCGGATGGCGGGTCTGATGAGCCACAAGGACAAGCTGGGCAGCCCGTCGACGGGCTCCGAGGACGGCGGCGGCGGCGTGGACATGGGCGAGCTGGTGCAGGAGCTGGAGCAGGACGAGTTCGACGCGCCCGTGCTGGCCAATGGTAGCGCCCTAGGTGAGTGCCCCGGGCAGCGCACTAACTTGCCTCCCCTTCCCACCCGAGCAGGCGACCGTCCGGCGCTCATCGCGCCGCCGGAGAGCGAGTGGTACCACGGGCGGCTGGACCGGTACAGCGCCGAGCAGCGGCTGCGCTCCGCCAACATCCTGGGCAGCTACCTGGTGCGCGAGAGCGACCGCAAGCCCGGCTCGTACGTGCTGAGCTACCTGGGGCGCACCGGCATCAACCACTTCCGCATCACGGCGGTGTGCGGCGACTTCTACATCGGCGGCCGGCAGTTCTTCTCGCTCAGCGACCTGGTCGGCTACTACACGTCCTGCAGCGATCTGCTGAAGCGCGAGCGCCTGGTCATCCCCGTGCCGCCGCCGGAGCCCGTGAACGACAAGAAGCGCGTCGTGGCGATCCTGCCGTACACCAAGATGCCCGACACGGACGAGCTGACGTTCCAGAAGGGCGACATCTTCTTCCTGCACAACGACATGGGCGACGGCTGGCTGTGGGTCACGGCGCACCGCACCGGCGAGCAGGGCATGATCTTCCGCGAGCTGGTGGAGGATCTGGACCCCGGCATCGACCCCAACACCGTCTTCCCCTGGTTCCACCCCAACTGCACCAAGAACGAGGCCGTGGACATGCTGGTGAAGGTAATCTCGCCCCAATTCGCCCCTTTCTTATCATTTGGGGGGCAATTTATCGCGAAATTGATTAGCAAATCGGAAATATTGATTATCAAAGTCGCCTTTTCACGTCTTTGGGTGTGAAAATCAACTTTTCACACCTCGTCGGGTGCAGAAAAAGCCGTAAAAAGCCCAAATCGCTTTCTTTTCAAGGACGCGAATTGAACATTTAGTCTTAATCTTAATCAAAACTCTTTTTAATCATATAATAAAGTGTTAATATAATTATTTCATATATTTTCCTGTTGATTTCGATATTATTAATTAAAATTATGAGTAAAATATGGCGAATTAACAGACTAACTGTGAATATTACATACAAAAAGATAGTTTTTCATAGTTTTCATGTGTATTTTATCTCAAAAATCCGTAAAAATAGTAAAAATCAACATTTTTACACTTTCGTTTTGAAGTGATCGACAATTATCGACACTTATCGACTCGAATTACGTTCAATTTCCTTTTTCTAATACACAATTTTATGGGAAAAATTGATAAAATCTTCAATATAATAACTAATTTGTCCATTTAAGTCCTATTTTTCCCTCTAAATTTGTGTTAAAAAATGAAATTGCAGACACTTCGTGTCGATAAGTGTCGGCAAATGTCAACCACTTCAATAGATTGGAATATTTTCACAGTCAGTCGCTTAGCCTAGCTCTCCTAGGTTCTTTTTCGTTTTAATCCACATTAGTTGCTAATCGATCTAATCCGGTGTTGTGTTTCGCCTGAAAGGCGGGCCCCGGAAGCTTCCTGGTGCGCCCGAGCGACAACTCGCCCGGCGACTACTCGCTGTTCTTCCACATCAACAACCAGATCCAGCGCTTCCGGATCGAGAAGAAGGGCGTGCGCTACTTGATGGGCGGGCGCAACTTCGAGTGCCTGGACGCGGTGATCAATCGCTACCGCAAGGAGCAGATCGTGGAGGGACACACGCTGAACCATCCGGTGGTGAATGGGCAGCAGCCGGAGTTCAACGCGCCGCCGAGCATGTCGGCCGCGGCGGAGAAGATCTACGCGACGCTGCGCGAGTGTCGCGACCAGATCGGGCTGAAGAAGATCAAGGGCATCAAGCACCACGGCTATCTGCTGAAGAAGTCGGACAAGAGCGCCAAGTGGAAGCAGCTGTACTTCGCGCTGCTCGTGGAGGGCACGGAGACGCACCTGTGCTTCTACGACAATCCCAAGAAGACCAAGCCCAAGGGCCTGATCGACATGTCGTGCGCGTATCTCTATCAGGTGCACGAGTCGCTGTGGGAGCGCGCGCTCTGCTTCCAGATCGTGGAGCGCGCGCTGCCCTGCCTGGCCACGGTGTCCTTCCTCTGTGCCAACACGCCTGAGTCCTACGTGGAGTGGATCAGTGCGCTCAAGTCGCAGTGCGTGTCGCAGCTGAGCAAGGCGCAGTCCAAGGTGCCGCGCCTGCGCGAGCTGCGCTGCCTCAATCTGCAGATCCTCGAGGCGCATCGGCTGCCCTTCAAGCTCGTGCCGCATCCCTACTGCAGCATCACGCTCAACCAGCAGGTCAAGGTCGGCAAGACGCGCGTCAAGGTCGCGCCCGATCCGGTCTGGGAGGAGGAGTTCATCCTCGAGTGAGTATTCAGTCCATTCAGACTCAAAATGGAGTGATATTCGGTGTGTCTGTGCTAGAATTTCCCAGATTTCAATATCAAAGAACCTTGATTTTGCTCAAAAGGTCCATTATTTCCTGAAATAATGGATAGATTTCATTTCAAATCGTTTTCCACATCAGATAAAGTGATTTTGAAGAAAATTCATCTTCTTTTCATGATATTTAAGATAGATTTTTAAAAATTCTCTAGTTTGTGTGAGTTTTAGGCTCAAAATTCAGTGGGAAAAGTGAAGAAGAGCGAAAAATATCATGTAAAATAGACCATTTATAAACAGGAAATTATTAAATTCGGTAAAAAATTGAGAATAATCAAGGATTTGCTCTATTTTCTGTAGTTTAGCAAGGACACATTAGTTGAGACACAATTCAAGATTTCAAGAAAACTGAGAAAATAAGAATAAATGAGCGGAAAACGCTTGATTTGCAATGCCAATGTTCTCTCGTCGTTGCAGCGACGTGCCGCCGGACGTGGCGACGCTGACGATCACCGTGCTGAGTCGCGGGAAGCGCGGCAAGGACTCGGAGATGGCGGAGATCACGGTGGACCTGCTGAGCCTGAAGAACGGCCAGGAGACGGAGGACTGGTACCAGCTGACGGGGATGACGCCGATGGGCGAGTGGGGCTCGCTGCGGCTGCGCATGCGCTATCTGGACGACCTGATCATGCCGTGCGAGGAGTACAGCCCGCTGCAGCAGCTGCTGCTGGAGCCCGAGCTCAGCTCCGTGAAGGCGCTGGCAGAGCTGTGCCACAACGACCGCGTGCCGCTGGCCACGTCGCTGCTGCGCGTCTTCCGCCACGAGAAGCGCGAGACGGAGCTGATTAAGGTGCTGTGCCAGGCGGAGATTGCGCGCGAGAGCGAGACCACGACGCTGTTCCGCGGCGCGTCGCTGGCCACCACGCTCATGGATCTGTACATGCGCGCCGAGTGCTCGTGCTTCCTCCAGGCCGCCGTGTCGGACATTGTGACGAAGATCCTGGACAGCAAGCAGTCGGCGGAGCTGAATCCCACGAAGATGGACGTGAGCGACGACGCGTGCAGCAATGCGGAGTTCCTGCTGCAGATCCTCGATCAGGTCACGCAGTCCATCTTCACGGCGCCCGAGGCGTGTCCGCGCAGCGTGCGCTTCATCTGCAACTGCCTGCAGAAGGCCGTGGTGAGCAAGTGGCCGTCGGAGCGCCTCGTGCGCACGCGCGTCGTGTCGGGCTTCATCTTCCTGCGCCTCCTCTGTCCGGCGCTGCTCAATCCGCGCCAATTCGGCCTGGTCACCGAGACGCCGCCGCAAACTGCCACGCGATCGCTGGTGATGATCGCCAAGTGTCTGCAGAATCTCGCCAATCTGATTGAGTTTGGCGGCAAGGAGCCGTACATGGAGGTGGTGAATCCCTTCATTCTGAAGAACAAGGAGCGCATGATTGTGTTCCTGGACCAGCTGTCGTCCGTCACGGATCCCAATCCACTTCCCGGATGCATTCCCGACCAGAGTCACGCCAGCCACATGTATTCCGACGCAGGTTAGTCACTTTTGCCCCAGAAAGGAGCTCAGAAAGTGAGAAATATTCTCATTTTCCATCCTTTCTGCACACTTTTGATTGAAAATCGTTTAATTTTCGTGGTTTATTGACCAGTTTTGGCACTTTTTCAGTACAAAAATGCCTCAGAAAGAGAGAAGAGGACGAAAAAATGACTCTTTTCAGGGTTTTTCTTCCAATTATTCCAGTTTTTAATCGAATTTCAGACATAATAAGTCAATTTAAGGACACAATTTCAGAAAAACGCATCAAATTGATGAAATTCAAGCTGAAGAAAACACTCAAGATGAAGAAAATCATTGAAAACTCTCCAAAAATGAGTCACAAAAGCATTTTTCATGTGAAAAAAGTCTCAAGATTTTTTCAAGGGAAAGATTTATGGGTTAAATCTGTACACCATTTACAAATAAGACTAAGAATTGACTGAAATCGCACTAATAATTTTAAAATTCTGATTTTCAGATTGTCTTTAAGGAATTTTAATGCTATATTTCATGATTTTCAGCTTTTAATTACACTTTTTGATATTTTATTCTCAATTAGAATCTTTATGGCTTCAAAAAATGGTGTTTTGAAGTAAAAATTTGAGGTTATGTTTGATTTGAAGGATCTTAGCTTTCAGAATTGCGGTTTTTAATGAATGAAAATGCACAATTTTACTTATAAAGTCAAAAGACTTTCAGTTTAGGCACAAGAATTTGTATTTTAGGATGTTTTTTAGTCTTTAATCACTGACATAACCTCAAAAAATATGTCAAAATTACAATTTGGTTTCAAATTCAGTTCTGAGAGTAAAATAATCATAATAATGAGTACAATAATAATGAAAAAGTGTCTTTTAGCTTCTCAGAAGCTTAAATTTGAAGGTTTTGTGCGTTCGGAAATTGATTCTTTGTCATAATTGTGCTTGTTTTTCTGTGCAAATGATCATTAAATCGTGAATTCAGGCGGGAAAAGTCTTTAAGATCTTCTTTTGCTGTGTCTTTTTCAGGTCGCGAATTGGCCACTCTTCATCACATTTGCGTGTCGCATTTGCAGGATCTTCAGGCGCTGTCGAAGACCACGAACTCGATCAAGAAGTTGGTCACGGTGACGGACATGCTGACGAAGCACAAGCTTAAGTATAGGGAAATGATCAGTTAATCCACTGGAATTCATGGGCTTTTGAGACATTTTTTCTCTCAGGAAAAAGAAAAATCTTGAATTTGTTCTGTGGTGGAGAGAAAACACGAATGGACAAGTCTAATTTTTGCGCATGTTTTAAAAGAAGAGAGCTAAAAAAAAGAAAATCAAGCGACGAGAGTGTAAAAAAATGCATCTTTTAATAGGTGAATTTTCAACTAGAATTAAACACTAAATAACGTTGTATAGTCATTTCTGCTGTTTACACACTTCAAACAATATTATTCTTCACTATCTAGGAGAGGAAATTACTATAAAGACCCTTTTAGAGGCACAAGAAGGAAAAAGGATGCGGAAAACAAAGACTGGCGAAGTCTATATTTATACATGATCTATTTATACGGGATTTGCTTTGGAGTCTTTTGAAGGAAAACAACAAAAATATTGTAGGTTGATGTCTTTTAGTTTAATGTAATTGCGCTTGTCTTTGATAATCTCTAGGAATATTTTAATAATTATATTGTCTTAACAATTAGAACTGCGCTCTTATTAATGCAAGATGAAGAAGCAGATCAAAATTATACTCTAAAGAAAAATTACTAAAAAAAAAACATTTCCTTATGTTTAACTTCTTAATACCAAAGCTAAGTTTTATTTCCAGACTTTGATTGGCCTATGAAAAATCTTAACCAAAAAAGAAAGAAAAAACAAGACATTTTAAGAGAAACGCTTCCTATTCATAAGAGATTCTCACTCTCTCTCTTAACGAAAACATTTCTTACAAGTTTACAGAATTTACAGAGTTGAAAGATTAAACAAAAAATAGATGATATTAACCACTTAACAGTGTCAATTAAAGTCCATTCGTAATTTTTAGTGTCACTAATAGGAATAAAATATGATCTTGTGAAGAGTTTTTTCTTTTCTTTTTTACTCCTTTTATTATTAAGAGAATTGTATCGACAGTGAAAAGCTTTTATTCCTTTCCCCGCCCCCCAATATTCACCCAGTATAATTAACTGTATGATAGGCTCTCTCATTCCTACATAATGTATGAATATCGTTCATTAAAGTTAGTTTTTTTCTGAATTGAAAATCACCTTTTAATTTTTTTGCATTTACAAGAATATCTTATGATAAACAGAGAATTGATATCGCCATGAAGACACACGCCACGCCGACGTACGGAGATTTGCGCTCGCCGATCCGCGCCAGCTTCCAGAAGATGCCCAAGACCCTGTGGAGGAGCAACAGATGAGTATCTGATCAGGATCACGCAAGGATTTCAGCCTTACCCGGTTTTATTCCTGTCGATTATGCTCGGGAAAATCGACCGCAAATATGTGCAAGTGCAGATCAGGAGCAGGAGAACCGAAAGCAGGCTTTGGAAGTTGAATAGCGCACTCTGGAAAGACAATCACACATCCTTGTTGATTCCTTTGCAGGGAAATTGCCTCAAACAGGCTTGATTTGGAGGATTTCCTCACCATTTTCACGATTTACTGTGTTGGATTGTTGTTTTTCCAGATGACGGCAGAATTGACAACTCCTCACTGGCAAGCGAGTCAATATAGCATGATATTTCACCTACTTTTGCATGCAAGTGTTTCCCGCCTTTTCGCGCCATGGCAACGATTTGTTGGGACGAGAAATCGATTTTCTCCTTACTGAAAACAGTGAAAATGAATAGCGCCACGTACAAGTGGAATTACAATTTCCCACAAATCGCGAGGGAATACGGATTGAGGCTGAATGGAGCGGAAAGTGGAACTCTAGATTGGCGACTTATAGGTAAATTCCACACAAACTCGCAGTGAATCTCAAGAAACAGCACAATAAATTCTCTCGATAACTCTGCCAGGATCGCACGACATCGAGAGGCTGGTGAAGGACAACGACTTTGAGCGCCTGGAGTCTGTGATTCCGCACCTCACGGAGGCTCCGCTGGGCGCGATCCTGAACAATTCCGTCCTGGATTCGGGCATCGCGAAGTACTTCTGTCTGGCACAGCTGGGATTGCAGTATCTCTCCTTCTGCAAGGACTTCCTGGACAAGGCGGTGACGTCGCTGAGGCGCAATGTGTACAACATCGAGAAGGAGCGACAGAAGTTGCTGAAGACGAACAGGAAGAAGAACGAAGAATTGCTGCGAATGCACAAGAAAGTGCACAAAATTGAGGAGAACTTCGAGAAGAAGAGCGACACTTATGCGTGCTCAAAGTGCACGAAGAACTTCGCATCGCCAGAGTTTCTGGACAATCACGTGGAGCGAAAGCATTCGCAGAGTGTGCAGAAGATGGAGGATGACAACAATCTCGTGGGAAATATCAAACTGGAGCTGGAGATTAAGCAGCTGAAGCAGAAGTTGAACGACGCCGAGAGGAAATTGCAGGAACCGAGGAAAACGTGTGCTTCTCTCGGCATTCAGACGAACTTCGAGGAGGAGAAGGACAAGGACGAGAGCAGCGAAGTTCAGGCGCAGCGACAGTTGGTTCTGGAGTCGCAGCATCAATTGGCGGAGCTGCTCAGGGCGCAGCTGAACGCCATGGACGAGTGGAAGTCGTCGGAGAAGCAACGGAGTCAGAAGGATTCGCTGGAGATGAAGACTTCCCTCCAGGAAGCCGTGAAATTGATGTCGCAGAAGAGTCGCGTCGTGCTGAACAAGAGCAAACTCGATCTCTACTCAATCCCAGCGGGAAAAGCAGAAGCCAAGGAATCCGCAGAAGCTGAAGAGATCAGAGAATGGAGGAAAAAGTATCACGATCTTGAGGAATCCTACAAAGATGGACATGAGAAATTGAGCTACATTTTGAACGATCTGGACAAGAAGAACAAGGATCAAAGGCTTCTCATTGAGATGCTGAAGAAGAAACCGGAAACCAAGGATTTCACCGTTCAAGTGGAAATTGTAAAATCGATAAAATCCGATGATGAGATCTTGAAGATTCCCAGCAAAATTCCCATGAAGATGTTCGTGTCGAGCATAACAGATTCCGAAGATGAAGATGAAGATGAGGAAGAAGAGGAGGAAATTTCTGTTGGAAAATCGAAGGAAGATCAGAGACAAATGGCTAAAAACAAGATTAATTTAACACTAGAGAATTTGGGCATAAAACCTGATCAAACAAGGCTAAAATCGAGTGATTTTGAGAAGATAAAAAGCAAGATTTCACGCGAAAGAAGCAGCAGAATTAGAAATATCAGCAATTTCTCGAGAACTAGAAGTAATATTCTGGATAAACTTGAAGACTTAATCCAATCAAATCAACCACATCCGAGTCCTTTAAGTACCAAAATATCCTTCTTATCGTCCAAAATCTCCAAAAGAGTCAATTTCAAGTGATTTATTCTGTATCTTGTTTCAAATCATCTTCCAATCCAATAAAGTCTATAAACTTGTTCCAATCCACGACACTTCCTCTCTCTTTCATGTTCATTTCCACGTCGGCGCTCTGGAAATACCTGCAAATCGTGATGATCTCGTGCGTCTTGACGTCTCCGTTCAGTAGATGCGTCAGCATGTCCTTCATCATCTCAAAGTCCGCAGCCAAGCTTCCATTCTCCCGCATCGCCAGCTTCGGAAGATACTCGGCAATGAAGACTTTGTAGTGCGGCCGAATTGTGTCCCGAATCTTCGTCATGATCGTATCGATGTTGGCGTACGGAAACGTATTTTGATTCTTCTCCATGTAATCAAACACGTGACAATCCGCCGACACGATTTCGAACACGTGATCGGACAATTGAATCCTGCTGCCGATGAAGAAATGCTGCGGCGCGAAGATCTGCGGACGAACTGAAGACATGAGATTCTGATTTGGCAAGAAGAATTGCTTGCGATGCAGAAATCTTCCGCCCGTAAAACCGGAATTTCGCACAGGTTTCTCAAATACGGAAATCGTATCGTCGGCCAAGTAGTAATTGACGATGAAGATTCTCTCGGAATTCTCCTTGATTCGCGAAATCAACTTAGCGCCGAAGCGCAACACTTGATTTTCATGGCTGATGAACTTCTTCACGTCCGTTTTTGGCGGTTTTGGCTCCAAAGTCTTGCAATTCTCCTCAGAATCTTGATGCGTTCCCCAACCGTTGAAGGCCGGAAGTTGTCTCTCCTTGGGCTTCAGCACGACTGAAGTCTGGTCGGGATCTTGAGCCTTTTCTAGTGGAGTGATTCCTTCAAGACCGTACTGAAAAGAAGCCAGAAAACATTGTATTTTTGGTTATATTCTCTACAAACCAATATATAACCAACTTACGACTAATTAACAACTTTACTAATGATTTTTTGACCGATCACTCTTTTGAGATCTTTTTCGATATGAAATATGAAAGAATTTTTAGAAGTATTTAAAAATTTTGCTCAAAATCTTGAAATTTGAAAGCTTAGGTTATATTTTATGGTTAGAATTGGGTTAGAATTTGGTTATAAGGTCCGGAATCTATCATTTTCTAAGTTATTCTAGTTTAGACGTAAGATTTTACGGTTTTCAGCCAAGATTGCAGGTTTACGACATAAGATCTTAGACTTTAAAAAAATGTCTGACTTGAAAAACATAAATTTTACCTTTTCTTTGTAGAAATTCCGCGTGAAAGCGTCGCAATCGATTAGCACAACGCTTCGTCCGAAGACATCCAAAGTCTTGCCGACTTGCAAATCCTTCTCCGTCACGAACTCGTTCTTATCCGCCTCTTCGGCTTTGGAATCCGGGATGAATCTGCCATTCGTCAGTCCCATTCCGAAGACATTCAGCACCGTCATTGGATTGCGCAAGTCCAGATCTGTGACGGCGGAAGCTTTCTTCGGCAATTTCATGCGCTTGAGGAATTGCAGAGTTTCCTGTCGCCCCGAATTCGCCGGCAGAACCTCAATGATCTCCAGTGTGTTGTCGCAGAGGTAGAAGAGGACAGTCAAGTCCCTCACGTAGCCCATGTCCTTCTCTCTGCTGTCCCAGAAGCCCGAGTAGCGCAGCACTTTGCCGTCGTTCTGCAGAAACTGCGCCAATTTGTTGCTCTTCACGCCAAAGCGCCGAACCGTGACGTTGGCCTGCGCCTTGCGCATCTCCGTGTTGGGATCCACCGGAATGGACTCAGCCTGTGGCACGCGGATGCCCAGCTGGTTGAGGAATTGCCGCGTGAAGTCGTCGCAATTCGTCACGTGATAAGTGCGACTGAAGATCGTCACCGGCTTGCCCACGTTGAAGTCCAGCACGGAGAGGAACTTGCGCTCGTGCAGATCGCCCGCCGGCACCTTCTGGCGCTTCACGATGCACCCCTGCGGAATGCCGGAGTCCGCGATCTTGGGCTCGATCACCTGCACCGTGCCGTCCTCGAGGAAGAAGGAGATGCGCATGCTGCGGATCTGGTAGGCGGACGCGTCGGCGACGCCCTCGCGGAAGAAGGCGTCGAAGCAGAGCACCCTCTTGTCGTACTGCAGCCATCCGGGCGTGAGATTCTGCGCCATCTTGGGCGGGTACAGCGCTATCATCTCCACCGTGTCCTGCCGCCGGCGGTCGGACAGCGCCGGAATGCCTCTGTAGTGCGTCCAGATCTGCGGCCTCTGGAAGTTGTTCTTGCCAACCTGTAAATCGAGGGTGAAATAATCCACTCAGGGTTGATTAAATGCTACTCAATTACTCACATCGGGGAAGTGATTTCCCGGGAAAAGCGGCAATTTGGAATACTGAGACATTTTTGTTGTTTCGACACAACTGAAATTGCTATGGAGATGATTTTATTATTTAGCACAGAGTTTCCATGCTTTATTAACCCATATTTGCTCTTTGGGTTGTTCTTGTCCTCAATTCAGGTATTATTGATGAAAATAGATCAGGAAATCATTCAATGATTCAATAAAATATAGGAAAATTAGTTCAGGTGTTAATTGGGTTAAATTGTAGTCGTAAAATCTCATAAAAATTGGTTAGAAATACGCCAAACTGACGTAGAAATAACCGTGCAAAGCGTGCAACAAATGAGAGCTTTTAAAATGCTGCATGAAGAGTTTATTCAACAGAAATAGAAAATATAGCATTTCTTCAGCGGGAGCTGCGCATATGTACAACAGTCGCGGTCCGGAGCGTGCCAGGTCGTCGTCTTAGGCCGAGGGCTTCTCCTCGGACACCGCGGTGGCGCCCGAGGCCACGGAGGCCGTGTCGTCGGGGGTGTCTTGGCAGGAGAGCGAGGGGAACTTCTTGTACAGCGCTTGGCGGTACTTGGGGTGGCTGATGCCGTACACGATGGGGTTGTACACGGCGTTGGCCTTGGCGAACAGCGAGCCCCAGATGGTGGCCAGCGGGCTGATGGGCGCCGACTCGAAGACGCCGGTGTAGTTGATGATGAGATATGGCGTCCAGGCGAAGAACCACAGCGCGATGGTGAAGAGCGCCACCTTGGCCAGCTTGCACTCGGCGCTGGCGTTGACGTTCTCGGCGCTGCGCAGCGACGCCACGTTCATCTTCTTGGCCTGCTCGCGCATGTTCTTCTCGTGCGCCGCCACGGCCTGCACGATGAAGAAGTAGGAGTAGATGATGAGCAGCAGCGGCATGTAGTACACGAAGACGGAGTAGACGAGGATGTAGGAGCGGCTGACCCAGTCCTTGGTCAGGTAGTCCGTGCCGCAGGCCGTCATGTTGCCCTCGGGCACGTACCGATTCCAGCCGAACATGGGCGCCAGCGTCCACGCGAGCGAGAACGCCCAGATGAACAGGATGCGCAGCAGTGCGCCATTGCTGGTCATCGGCTTGCCGGCCAGACCCTTCACGATCACATTGTAGCGGTCGAAGGCGATCATGGTCATCGTCCAGATGCTCGTGCAGCCGAACAGGGAGCCGCACATGGCGTAGATCTGGCACATGAGCGGTCCGTAGATCCAGGTCTCGTGGTAGCAGTTCATGACCATGGGCGGACCCATGGTGAACATCATGAGGAAGTCCGAGAAGGCCAAGTTCACCACCAGCAGATTGGACGGGGTGCGGAGTGCCTTAGTCGTGGTGAAGATGTAAATGACCACGCCGTTGCCGATGGCCGAGACCAGGCCCAGCACGCCGATCGTGAAGCCCAGGATCGCGTGCCACAGCGGGTTCATCGGCGGGAACTGGTACCAATGTGCGTCTACCTGCGAAAGTGAGGTTAAATCGGACAGTTAGCGCTGCTGCGCACAAATTGCGCACGAATTGCGCACAAATTGCGCACGAAAATCTCACCAAGTGAAGCATTTCTGGTGGAACTTTGTCCACCACGGTCATGTTCCCGAAGCTCGCGCCGCCTCCGGATCCGCTCTGCCAGGCGCTAAAGTGTGGCTCAGCAAAGGCGGCCATTTTCACCTTCTCTCACTGTTTTTTCACTGAACGAATTGAAATTGAAGTCCTGAAGAAAATCGCCTCAACAGCGAACTACTCCAGCACTCTTAGTGATAATCTACCAAGACCATACAACCAAGGTAACTCGAGTCTCTGCAGCGCTGCACCGTCCTTTTATACCCACTTCCAACGGTGGGACTTGAGATTTGCCCTAATTAAATTACGAATTTCTCATTTCCCGCGAAGACGCACAGAGTCTTTAATCTTTTTAGCTGCATTCTTTCCCTAATTGGCTTAAAATTCTTCAGACAATGCGCGCAAAGTAGGCGCAAAGTCTCTCCGCGCTGCGAGTCTTGCAGTAGAATCAGTGACGATGTGAGGTAATTGGTGTTGAGCACGTTGAATTCTTGAATTTCGATCTCATTTGGGGAATTGAATGATTAACGACATTGAGATTATCCAATATGTGCGCTTCCAATTTCGATTCATTTGCCGCCTGAGGTTTCCGACTAATGCCAAAATGCTTACGTATCGTCAATTCAAATATTTGTCAACTTTAACACCCTCCAGACAATTATCACTGTTTTTTTCCGAGAACATCTCTCAGGTCCATTCAAGATCTGCCCAAGACTCCGGTCAGTTGTTCCCAGACACTTGACAAAATAACATTCGCGCGTGCGATTTTCATGCGCCAGAAAAAATCTGCTGATCAGTGTTTTATCGGTTATTATTCATATCAATTGCAAATGACGAACAACAGCATGTGAGTAGGCAATTGCAGAATCTGATTGAGAAAGGGACAGACTTTCCACGCGAAGGGAAAACCCAAGAGCTCATCAGCTGACATGTGATAATCACGGCCATTCGCGACTAATTGGAAAAATCAATCCGCTAATGAACCCGTGGCGATGAATCGTTAACGTAAATATTGTCTATGACTTTGCACAGATTTGCGCTTCACGGCAACGGTGAGCGTCGCACATCTGGACCAGCCAGAAGATATTCCCATTCAGACAATCACGCCTCGACTCTCAGGACAATTCTGCCGCAAATTCTCGCCGTGGGCGTTAAGAACATCCTCCTGTTCGGCTATGGCATGACTCTGGGATTTCCCACCATCGTTATTCCTGCCATTCAAGGTGGAGAAGGTCGAGAACCCACCCAGGATCCTCAGCTGATCCTCAACAAGGAGGAGATCTCGTGGTTCAGTGAGTTAACTCTAATAGAGAGCGACGAGATTACTTCGTCATTCAAAGAACATTGACAAAACCGGGCAAAACCGTATTTTTACGGTTTTGGCACACCAATTCCTAGAATAGAATGCGAAATAGTCTCAATCATCTTAAAGCGTTCTTTGAACACTGAGCAAGTAACATCCTTCCAATCCTAGGTTCAATAAACCTCATCTGCGTCCCTCTGGGATGCATCTTCTCGGGCAGCATCACTCAGCCGATAGGACGAAAGCGAGCCATGCAGTTGGTGAACATTCCCATCCTCATAGCCTGGCTGATCTTCCACTTCTCCACCAAAGTCGTCCATCTGTACGTCGGCCTGTGCTTGGCTGGTGTCAGCGGTGGACTCCTCGAGGCTCCTGTCTTGACGTACGTCGCCGAGATCACGCAGCCAAGAGTCAGAGGAATGCTGGCGGCAACAGGATCATTCTTCACGATCTTGGGTGTCTTTGCGCAGTTCCTGATGGGAACATTCCTCAAGTGGCGCTTGATTGCTCTCATCAGCTGCTCCCTGCCGATAATCTCACTATTCCTCCTCTTCATTGTGCCTGAGAGTCCTTACTGGCTGACGCAGAAGCACAGACTGACGGAGGCGAAGAAGAGTCTGGCCTGGCTCAGAGGATGGGTTCCGGAGAGTCACGTTGAGCAGGAGTTCAAGGCTCTCTGTGAGCAAGTTAAGGACATTGCTGTGTCTGAACAGAGGCAAGAGAATGAGTCTTGCTTGGCGCAGAACAAAGCCTACTCCAAGAAGACATTCCTCTGGCCATTTGCTCTCATTTCCTACACTTTCTTCATCGGTCACTTCTCCGGCATGACAACACTGCAAACTTATGCTGTGCAGATCTTTCACACCCTGAAAGCGCCCATTGACAAATACTACGCCACGATGCTTCTGGGTGTGGCTGAACTCATTGGAACTCTTCTGTGCGTTGTTCTTGTGCACTTAACAGGGAAGCGTCCGATTGTCTTCATATCGACAATCGGCTGTGGATTGTGCTTCCTGGCAACGGGAACATACACGCACTTCTTGCACTTGATTCCAGGCTCGACAATTCGCAATGTTGTGGCCAATGTGTCGGCAATTGAGGCAGAAAGTGTGGATGAATTGATAGCCTTAAACATATCACTGCCAATGGAAGAGAGCAGTAATTCCACAGACTTCGACATTGCAATTGACTTGTATGATTCACAGGAAAACACAACAAACGACGATGAATCACGGATTTCGGTGCAGAACTTCTTGGTTGACTCAATGAGATTCGTTCTCAATGAGACGGATTATGTGGATGTGAATGACACTGATGACTCTGGCGAGAAGACATACTCAATTCCCGACAAGATCATCATTCCTCTGCCAGAGGCGAAGCACAACAAGTACTTGTGGGTTCCTTTGAGTCTCTTGCTGGGCAGCGCGATGCTTTCTCACATGGGAATCCGCCTGATTCCGTGGATGCTGATTGGGGAGATTTATCCGACGGCCATCAGGAGTTGCGCTTCTGGCCTCTCAGGCGGAATTGGCTACGTCTTTGGCTTCCTGGCCAACAAACTCTTCCTGGACATGGTCGGGAGTTTCACTCTTTACGGCACTTTCTGGATTTACTCCTTCATTAGCTTGACTGGAGCTTTGGTTCTCTACTTCTGCCTGCCCGAAACTGAAGGACGAACTTTGGGTGAGATTGAAGCGTACTTCACGGATTCGAAGAATTTCACGAAGAAACTGCGAAAAGGCAGAATTGAAGGCACAAATGGCAACTCAACGGACAACAATGTTGGCTCAAAGAATGGCTTTCCGTGCGAAATCACTCAGATTTACAATACAAGATTATAATGTAGAGGGAAAAATTGTATTGAAAAGTGGATAATTAAAGCTCTGTAATTAATCGTGTTGTGATTTTATTTCAATACTTCTATTGATTTCACACTCTGATGTTTATCTGCACGCGGGAAAATTGCCGCCGAGTTGGTTGAGAATTGCCAGTAAATAAACCCATTTTAATCTACAGAGTTTCAGTGTCAGAAGCAGTGAATATGAAGATTGACCGGAAGAAAATCGCAAAAGCTCACATTCAAAACTCAAGAGACACTTTCCAGCGCGCCGTGATGCCGTTTCTCCTCTTGAGCCAATTCTTCGGTCTTCTGCCCGTGACTGGCGTGACGGCGAAGGATCCGGAGAAAATCTCCTTCTCCTGGCTACAATTGAAGACAATCAACACGCTGAGTCACATCTTCTTTGCCATTCTTTTGCTGTTCTTCTACATGAAACACATTTCCTCAATTGGCATCACAGCAAAGAATTTCAGTTAAGAAAAATGAGTTAATTTGCTGGAATTTCTCTTAACATTCTTTCAATTCCCTTTCACTTCAGTTGCTTTCGGCTTTTACACAACGTGCTTCATCAGTTACATCTTCTTCCTGTGGCTCGCGATGAAGTGGAAGGACATCATGACATTTTGGGTGGAGAGAGAAAACACTTTTCTCAAGTATCCTTACAAAACTGCTCGCATTTCCGTCGTGACTCACCTTCGATTCCTCGGATTCTTCTTATTGGGCCTCGCATTGAGTATGTCAAGTGCAAGGATTCATATCCTTAGATCCCAATTAACCACTTAACATTGCTTTGCAGTCGAGCACTCACTGGCCATCGCCAATGGAGCCTACAACATCATGCAAGAAGCGTCTTTCTGTCAATACAACTTCACGACATTTTCAGATAAAACAGCGTATTTCTATTTAAAGTACTATTCCCACATTTTCACCATCATTCCATACAATATGCCACTAGCTCTGGTCTTATTGGTGAGTTTATCACGATTTTCCAAAGCTTTCCCAATAGATTAACGACACCATTATATGTAGAGTCGAGCGACAGTGCAAAACTGAGTCGTTAGCGAGTTGTGGAGAATTTGCGAGACATTTTATTTCATTTTAACTTAGTTTCGACTCTCATGCGACCGTCTTACGACTTATTCTTATAACGCGCGTCGTGTTAAGTCGTGATCGGTTTTAAGAAATGTAAAAGTAATTACAGACTTGCTGATGATCCACGAGAGGTTCAGCGAGAGCGCGAGTGTGAACGACTGACAGTTCGCTTAGCCAGAAAACGCGAATAATCCCTCGATATATCGAAGGTTCAGCCGATTTTTCAGGGGTTCCCGACGACAGCGCGCTCGTGCGAAAATGCGCCGAAACATTGCGCGACTCAGAAAAGGCGCAAAATGGCGGATCTCTTGTGAATGATTTCCTGGATTATTAAAATCGCATTAAATTCTTCTGCGAATCATCAATTTTCGCAATTTTAATGTAAAATTTCACTCTTTTGAAGAATGCAAATTAACTGACAGCTGAACACACCAAGCACAGTGTCGCTAGTGGCGACAAAGAAGAATAATCTCTGAGTGTGTTCGGTGACAGTTCAGCCACGAATATCGCTAATCCATATTTTGAGTGTGTAAAAGTGCAGATCAACCACGAATTATCGCTGATCTGACCTTTACACACTCCAAGCTCATCCACGGAGGATTGATCCGAGTTCGCCCCGTTTCGTGGATCATCAGCAAGTCTGTAATCGCTTTAAGTAAGAACGGTATTAATATTCTGTAATATTTTATAGCCTTTCTTATTCATATTTGACTTGTCAAGAACGAAATGGAAATTAGTTTTTTGTCGTTGCGACTTCGTTACGACTAAGCTTGAAAGAGTTAAACTAATTAGTCGTGCGACTGTTGTTTGACTCACAATTGACGTTCTGACGACGTCGTGAGCGAGTCAGAGTCAGGCAATTGTCACTATTGACATTCTCTTGCAATTGTCTTGCAATTTTCTTCCAGTGGATGAATTTCAGCTTGACTTACGCGTGGAATTTCATCGACATCTTCACGATTTTGGTCGCCGTGGGCGTGGCGAAGAGATTCGAGCAGATCAACAATCGCCTGCAATTGGTGAAGGAAAAAGCCGTTCCTGAGCAATATTGGCTCCAAATCCGACTTCATTACGTTCAAGTGTGCGAAATCGTTGAATATGTGGAAGATTACTTATCGCCCATCATCTTACTGTCCAGCGCCAATGATTTCTACTTCATTTGCTATCAACTCTTGCACGTTTCCAAGTGAGAATTTCATGTTGAACATCAAATTTTCGGGTGAATTTCCTAACTTTGGGCTTCTTTTCAGCGTTTTGCCGTATCAAATGAATTACGTTTACTTCTGGAGTTCACTCCTTTATCTCATCTTTAGGACTTTCTGCCTCTTCCTCTTCACCGCCGAGATCAATGATCAGTCCAAAAGACCTCTTGAGATCCTCAAAACCATTCCATCGTTTTCCTGGTGCGAAGAACTCGAGCGATTCATTCATCAAACGTGCAGAGAATCCATTTGCTTCTCTGGCATGAAGTTCTTCTCATTCACAAGACATCTTGTCTTGTCCGTGAGTGTCTTTTTTGGCGATTAGCACGCATTTCAGTGGATTTACAGGCTTCAATATTTCCAGATGGTCGGATCTGTGATCACTTATGAGCTCGTCCTGATGCAAGTTGATCACAACAGTGAATCGAAGGCTCTGCGAGTGTCCCAAGTGAATTCCACTCTTCCGCCGATTGCGTGTGATTTTTCCTTCGAGCTTTACGGCTTCTAAATGCTTCTGGTCACGCTAATCCCTTTCTAATTACCACCAGCAGATTTTATCAATAAACACATGGGCAAAAGGACCTCAATTTGTCAGTCTTTTAATCAGTATTTCCTGACCGCTCTGCCGCAAAAGGAGAGCCATGAACAGAAGCTCGAGTAAATCCGATTCCTTCCTGAACGCCATTGCGCCTCTGCTGCTCCTGGCGCAATGTCTCGGGATAATGCCAGTGATTGGCATCCTGGACAGCGACAGGAGTGCGCTGAAGTTCAAGTGGATAGCTTTCAGGACTTTCTACACACTTTGCGTCATTTCCTGCGCCTTCGGCGAATGGTTTCTCACCGTCTATCGGATTTACGTGTTCGGCTTCAGCCCGACAAACATCAAATCCTTGACGTTCTACACAATCACAGTCACAGGACATGTTCTCTTCCTGAATCTCGCCACGCGATGGCCAAACGTCGTCAAGTGTTGGGACAAGGCGGAATCCACCTTCTTATCGCAACCTTATCACACTTCCGGCTGGCGTTTGAAGGTCAGGACGAGACTCTTGTGCTTCTCCTGGATCTCCGTTGCAATCAGTTGAGTTCTTTCCCTTGAAATCCTGGACGATTTAGCGACTAATTATCGACTCTTTTGCCAGTTGAATACACTTTATTCGTCTGCGTTGCCACGATTGGCATTTATCAAGCCCTGGAAATCTGTCCGGACAGCAAAGTTGGGGTTTTGGAGGTCTTCTTCAGGAGTCAGCGTTCACACATTTTCCTGTGGATCACATTCAGGACTTGGATGTCTCCTTTTCTGCTCCTGATCAACGTCAGTCTCACGTTTTGCTGGACTTTTCTCGATATCTTCATCATGATCACTGGAATCGCGATCGCGACAAGATTCACGCAAATCACAGAAAGAATCAGAAGAATGGAGAAAATGGTGAGAGTGCAGAAGTTGCGCTTGTGGAGGAATTCAGGGTGTTTCTCTTCCCAGATGATTCCCAATTCCTTCTGGACAGAAGTTCGCACGCATTACTTGATCCTCAACGAATTGGTTCTTTACGTCGACGATCGTCTTTCGCTGCTGATCCTTCTGTCCTGCGCCAGCAATCTCTACTTTATCTGCCTTCAACTCCTCAACAGCTTCACAAAGTGAGATCAACTAAAACCACCCTTAAATCACTTAATCTCCCTCCTTCTGACTCCGCAGCAACTACACAAACACCTTATCGACGGTCTACTTCTGGTTTTCGCTCTTCTTCGTCATGGGCAGGACAGTTTGCGTCCTTCTCTGCGCCGCTTCCATTCACGATTCCTCCAAGACGCCGCTGAAGACTCTCCGGAACGTTCCGACGAGGTTCTGGAGCGTCGAATTGGGGCGCTTCATCTACACCATAACGAAGGACACAATCGCTCTGAGCGGAAGAAGATTCTTCTACCTCACAAAGAGACTGGTTTTGGCGGTAAGATTGCTCAATTTTACTTCCATAATTCAATGAAAATCATTTTCTGCTGTATTTTAATCATTTATGAAATGTTTCTGCCTTGAAATCCCTTTGAAAACGCCTTTTCAGAAAATTTCTATCAAATTGTGAGGTTAAGAATACGCTTAAGAGTCATTAAGGACTCATTTTGACACTTTCAAAGTGGAAAAGAGCGAAAATCTCACTGTTTTAGCCTCAAATTGGAATTTTGAATTGTCTTTTTGCATAGAAATAAGGGAAATTATAGAAATTTCTGTCTCATAACCTAGAAAAACTTTCAAAAGAGCATTAAAATTGATTTTTCTAATCAAAATATTTCAAAAACTTTAAGTCTTGCGCCAAATTTGTGAAAAAGAAGTTTTTGCCAAGAAAATACTCCAAACCTTTCTCATTTCCTTAGACTTCTGGGCAGAATATCTCCTCCTTGGCTGCAGAATCTGCGACAGAGATTAATTCATGTTTTCTTTTTCAAGATGGCGGCGACCGTGGCGACTTACGAGCTTGTTGTTTACGATCAAGTGACGAGCGCCGAAAGGCCGCCGGACAGTGAAACGCATCCTTGCAACTGGACGCATCAGGAATAAGAGAAAGAGGGCGTTTTATGTCTGCCTTTTAATGACATCTCTCAATATTTGCCATCAATACATTAAGCAACAAGAAAGCTTCAAGGGTAGCGACGTTAATTGGAGTCTCAGTGTCGTGTTGTCTCTAAAATCACTATGATTTGTTTGTTTTTTTCTTTTTCGCAAAAAGTGCATCCACAACATGCATACAAAGTACGATAATTATGGTAATCTTTTATGTGACATCAACCGGAAACGCCTACAGGTAATAAATAAAATAAATTAATTACAAAATTTATAATCTCTCGCTATCGATCACTTGTAACACTTTTTTTTCTTCTGAAAGCACGGAATACGGAGTTAAATGACACACTCTTCAGCTGTTCAGGATCTGTTAACTCTTCTCCGCGCGCTCGTCGTCATTGCTGAGCGCCTTCGGGATGGTGCCGATGTGAGTCCTGAGATGTCCTGAGCGCTTCGGCAGCTGCGTGGTGCCGTTGAAGCGCACATTCACGTCCTCGCAGCTGCTCAGCGGATGAATTGGCTCCGCCGCCGGCTCTGCCTTGGCCGCCTTGTTGCTGGCCGGCGAGGATTGCGGCGTGAGCGGCGTGGCGATGCCGCTGTCAATCTCATTGGGACTCTTCATATTGCTTATCGCCTTCTCAATGTGCTCCGGCAGCTTCATCTCCTCCTTCTTCACCAAATGCGCCGCCGCCGTCTCGTCGAAGCTGCTCAGCCGCATGGCCGCCTTCTGCTGGCGAATGTGCTCGAAGGTGTTCTCGAAGAACGGCGACTTCTTCCTGCCCTGCGCCCAAATCTCCGGCGACTCGTTGCCCTCCTCCAGGATCTTCAGCCCCATGCCCAGGTGGCTGTTCACCGAGATCGACTTGCCCATCTTGCGCTCCACGGGCTTCGCCTTGCGCTGCTCCGCATTGTGGATCTGCTGCACGATGCGCCGCACCTCGCCGGGAATCTCCAGGTCCGTCTTCAGTCCAATCAAGTGACTGACGAACGCGCCCAGCGTCTCCACCGTCACCTCCAGGCTCTGCACCTGCACCTGCAGCGCGTGAATCTGATTCTGCTGCGTGAACTTCGTCTTCTCCAGCTGCGAGATCGTCGACTGCGCGATCTGCAGCTGCGTCTCCAGCTCGTGATTGGCCTCCTTGGCGCGATTCAGCGTCTCAATGTGCTGATTCTGCGTGCTGATCTCCTCCTGCAGCACATGATACTCCACCTGATACTCGCCCAGCTGCCTCCCCACGTCCATGGCGAACGTGCGCCGCATCACCTGGTCGATCTTATCACAGTCCATCAGCGGCACCACGTTCTTCATGTAGTCCATGATCTCCTCGAAGTTGTCGCGCCGCATCAGCTCCTCCTTGTGCACCTCCAGCAGCGCGATCGCCACGCGGAAGATCACCTCCTGAGACTCCAGGAAGATCAAATCTGCGAAAAAAAAGGGAATTTATAGATAATATTATACATTTAGGGAAAAATTTGTGTGAAATCAAATCGATTTCGATCGATTTCCAGTCTTTTCTTCTTGGATTTGATCGAAAAAGATTAAGAGTTCGATTTTATTCCGAATTCGAAATTGCGTTTTCGAAGTGTCAAAGCTCGCGAGGTTTGCGGCTTCATGTTTTGATTCTTTTTACTTATTTCAATCAAGGATCGGGAGACATCGATTGGATCAAAGGCAGCTCAATCCGCTCCAGATATTGAGCTGAACTCTCTGGAGAGGCCGTTAAGAGACCGTCTGCAGGGGGTTTTTAGGGAGTTTCCTGATACCCCTGAATGGTGTTCTGGAAAAACCTCAGTCTTCTCAACTCCATCATAGACAATTTGGGCAGAGAAAAAGGCGCCGGACACAGAATTTTTTGTCCTTCATCCGCGGATGGAGTGATTAAAGTATTCTGTGTATTTATCAGGTGAGCTAGAGTCAATACTGGGCACATTTCCTGGCGGAGGACTGCAGGAGGCGTGAGGTGTAATAATCCACGCTCTGCCAACTTTATTTGAAGGTGAGAACGAGTCCATTTCTGGGTTTCAAGGCGGAAGAATATCCAGAGACTTCACTGAGACAATTCTCGTTCATTTATCAGGTGTGTTCGTCACAGAAGACGTTAATGCCCCAATTGAGGAACACAGTCTTCTCCATTAGAAGATATAATATTCTATAATCTAAAGACAAGTGTTTGTGTTTTACGGTGGCAGATTAACAGCTTGCCGACCAACCATAAGTGGTTCTAAACGTCCACCTTTATTATATATACAGGGACAGATCGCCAGACAATTCCAGTGAAGCGTAATGTTTCATCTGGAAACAGTGAAATGTCTATTTTTTTCGCACTCTGCTGTGTTCGAACACTTGCAAGCAAGCGGTGGGATTCGAACACACGACTGTCGCATCGAGAGTCAAGCGCGTTGACCACTGAGCCACAGCCGCCCTTGCCGAAAAGGATGCGAAAATCAATCTTAAAGCCACTCACCGAAGACTCTGGTGACGAATCCGAGCGGAAACTGCGAGCTGAAGAGCGTGAGAATCCACGGTGCTGCGTAGAGCGTTGGCGAGATCTCATTCTGGTCCAGCCACTCGTACAGCTCAGGAATTGTGTCCTTTAGCAAGCGAGATAATTGATAGAGTTCGCGCTGAAAGACTGTCATGTCGGGAAGATATTTGTTCCTCATTTGCCGCTTGAACATCAAATGCTTCAGCATCTGGAAGGCGTCAGCTTCCTCCAGCTGCAAACAAAGAGACGCGGCAATTAGTCTCTCTGGCGAAGAGAGACGCGGGGATGAATACTCACGTGCAGCAGCAGGACGCCGCAGATGAAGCCCAGACCCTGGCAATAGCCGAGCTCCGGATCGAGAATGGAATACGCCTTGAGCAGATTGAAGAGCGACAGCTGGCCGACGCCCAGCGATTGCTTGTAGAACTTGTGATTGGGAAATGTGCGCCCGAGATCGATGAAGATCGAGTGCTGGTGCTCCGTGAGATTCTTCAGCAGGGCGTGATATGGCGTGTCGAAGTTGGGGAACTTGGTCACGTTCACCGGCGCGTGGGCGATGCTGTGCTGCTCCGCCAGGAACATCCACACGTCACCGCGCTTGCTCCGCGGCACGCCACTCCGGATGGCCTGCAGGAGCACTTTGGGATCCCGCCTGGTCACGCTGCGCTGCTTATCCGTGAACTGATCCCACAGATCCGCCGCCTGCTTGTCGCACGGCAGAATCTCGTCGTACTCCAGCTTGATCTTCTTGATCTCATTCTCAGTCTGGCGATTGCGTAGCGTCGCATTCTCCTTCTCCATCCTGGCCAGGAGGATCGTCTGTCTGATCGCCGTGCGCCACAATTCGCGCAACTCCTCCTTGCTGCGCCTCTCGCGCAGCTTCGTCATCTTCACACTCCGCAAGGGTGACATCAGCTGAGTGTTCTCGGCGTCTGAGAAGTTCTTCGACGGCGTGACGACGCGCGTCAGCATCGCCTGACGCCACGACGCCGATCGATTCTCGCCACTCTCCTTCGGGCTGTTTCCCACTTTCATGAATCTGTGGGGAAATTAAAGATCTTTTAAGTCTTAAAATTACACAATTTCCACATAATTTCGCTTAAAATCGACCTAAAACTCGATTTTATTACTTTTTTTAGGTTATGTGATTGATTTAAGACAGATTTTGGAGATTAAAAAAGCTTAAAATGTATCAATTCTAGCATTTAAGTTGATAATATTTTGCTATACTCGAAAAAATTTAGCATTTACGCCCAACAACTGAACTTTAGCTGTATTTTAGTAGTAAAAACAGTTCAAAAATCAATCATAACCTCAAAATTGATCTTTTACCGACTTAATTCTCAGTTTAATGTTTTGAGGAGACAATCTTAAGCAAATTTTCGTGTAAAAGTAATGCGAGATTCGCTAATTCTAGTTTTAAAACAATTATAATATTTAAAAAAGATTTTTGAAGCGTATTCATAACCTCACATTTTGTTAGAATTTCTCCAAAAATGATTTAAGGCATTTTTCGAAGGATTTCAAATCATTTGGCATTCTTAAACCTCTTCTCAAGACTTTAAAAGGACGTTTGGCATCGATTTTACTCACATATCGATCATCGGCGATTTCAGCTGATCGGAGACGTGCGGCTTCGAGGGACTGGATCGTCCGGAGAGGATCTTGGGCGTGCGCTGAGCCTCTTGAGCGCTCTCGCTCGTGGGCGACGTGACTTCCTTGCCGAAGTTCTCGTCGCGGCCGCCCTTCCGCTTCAGCAGGTGATCGAAGGAGTTGGACAGCGAGCGCTTGGCCTTCATGAAGATCGTGCTGCCGCCCAGATATTGATTGAGGAACTCGCTGCGATTCTCTGCGGTGTCGTGAATGTGGCGCTGCTGGCGAGATTCGCAGTGCGCGCGAAGAAGCATCATGAGGAATTGCACCTGCTGCACCAGCGTATTGCCGGCCATCTCCTCGGCGCCGTAGTACTTGGCCATGATCATCTGCTGCTCCTCCTCCGACAGCGTCTCGATGCGCTTGAAGATCATCGCCTGCGTCTTCTTCTCGCTCAGGCCCTCGATGTCATTGCACAGCTTGTGATACCACAGCATCGGACACTGCTCGCACGACAGGATCTGCGACTTCTCCTTCTTCTTCTGCTCGGAACACGTGACGAAGGCCTGGGAAATCGCCGCCACGATGTCGTCCGCCACGTGATCTGACTGGCATTTGAAGACGTACGCGATGAAGCCGTCGTTCTGCACTTCCCTGCAGATGATGCCGAAGTGATCGGGACTCTTGTGACCCTGAGCGCAGCTCGCGATGTCCTTGAAGTCCTTGTACAGCAGCACTTGCTTCCTGTCCGGACTGATGAGGCGCAAGTCCGTGCGGCCGACCAGGAAAACCATCGTGCGATTCTGATCGATGACGGGAATTGAGCCAATTGAAGCCGATCTGTCGCGCTTCACAGGAGCTCTGCAAGGATAATCACACAGCAAAATTGCCTGTAAAATCAGTGCATCGCAGCAAATCGCCACACTACTTTTTTTCTAAGGATTTCACAGCTACAGCTAGACAGACACAAACACTGGGGAAAGGATTACGAGCCTACAGAACACCTCCTTTACTTACTCCTGCACTCGAGGTGAAAAGACAACAGTTTGCTGTTTAATATCTCCTCTGATTAAAGAAGCAGAAACATTCAAATCATCATCGTCAATCTCTCAAACACTCCTCAAAAAGGATACTCACTCGTTCTTCGTCACAGGAATCGTCATCTGACTAATTGTCCGCTGCAGAAGCTTGTCTTTGGGTCGCGGTGAGGAATTCTCTTTGTTTTCCTCCCCAATTTTAGTGCTTGAGAATTTCTCTGTGGAAACTTCCTCCTTCTTGTCATCACTCAACTCCTCCTCTTCCGTCTCATTCTCCGCCGACTCCTCCTTTATCCTCAGATCCGTCAGCTTTGATGTGTGATGCATTGTTTGTGACGACGATGTGCCTTCCGAAGGTTGATGAGGAAGCGCCATTTGGGGCTTCGGAGGCTCCGTTTGGATAAGTGAATTCTGTTCAATGGAAAAAAACGAGCACTTCTGAGTGTCCTTTTCCTAGGAATTCAGCAAAACTAATTGATTTGATCCCATAAAACCCTAAAAATGTCCTTAATTTTGATTAAAATTGAGTGAAAAATCAAGTTATTAGTTTCAAAATGTCCTTCTGTGCTTCTGGAGTGCAAAAATAGTTCCTTTCCAGCAAATGATCGAAATGTTATGCGTTTGGACACATAAAAACGTCTTGTCGCCACGCGACATTGTGCAGAAATTGCGCAGAACTTTATCTTTGTGATGTTTGTATTAAAAATGTCGTTTATACAAAATTTTTAAGTAAAGAAAAGATCAAAGAGAAGCAAAGAATTCCTTACTTTACCAGAAAAAAACATGTTATAATCTTGAATAACGAATTATTTCACACACTTTGCGATCCGCTTAACCTTCCGCAGTGTTTCCAGTTAATGAGTAATTGATCGCTAAGCGTTTAACCCCACTTTGACATGAACCAGTCGCAAATCTACTCACTCTGCGCGCCTCCTCTTGCAGCCGCATCATGCGCTGCGTGTCGTAGGCTTTGAACTTGGGCAGGGCGTCGTCGATGAAGGTGTCCGGGACACGCTTGTGCGACACTTTGATTTTCCCCACGTACATCACCTCGAAGAACTGCGAGTGGCTGGGCGAGATCTCGCTGAACAGCGTCAGATTGCCGCCCAGGGAGTTCACCGTGCCCGTGGACTGGCTGAGTCCGCTCGTGTAGCTCCGCGAGGCGGCCATCTTGGGCGTGAAGATGCTCGGGCCGCCGTCGTGGTGCGCATGGCGCAGCGCCTCGTTGAACTTGAGGTTTGAAGCCGGCGTGGAATGGACTCCTTGGCTGTGGAGCGCCTTCTGCACCGAAATCTCCGACGATCCCGGCGCCGAGACGATGCTCTGCGGAATGCTGCCCACGGAGCCGCCCAAGTTGTGGCTCGGATCGCGTATTTGTTGCATGAGTTCCGTCATCTGGAAGCGAATCACAATCATCTCTCTGCCGCCATTTGTTCATCAACAATGTGTGAAGAGACAGATCAAGGGGGAGATAGTGTCTCACGCTTCGCATTTCAAGGCTTTCGAGTGATATTTGTGTGATAAACTGCTTCAAATCGTTTTGATGGGTATTTTTTCCACCATAACCTCACAAATAACACTAAAAAAGGATCTTAAGGATGTCTTTCTGGCTTCTTAAGCACAAACCGGAGTATTTTTTACTGTTTCAACTCGTTAAGAAAGCTGAAAACTGTTGTTTTCCTCATAAAAATACATTGAAAAACCCTTAGAATAGATTTTTTCTGAGTTTACAACACCATTTTTGAGGTTATGTCTGACTTTTGCCGAGTTCTCTGTGGTTTTTATTACCTAAATTCCAGAATTTTGTTCTTAATTGTATGAAAATGCTTGATTTTGCCAATAAATACACAATTTTCCGGCCTAAGCTTAATAATTTCGATGTTTATAAGGTTATTGTTAGGTTATGTTCGACTTTAGCCAAATATTCAGTGTTTCTTATCACCTTAATTCCAGAATCTTGCTCTTAATTGTATGAAAATGCTTGACTTTGCGAATAAATAGACAAGTTTCCGGTCTAAGTTTAAGGTTTTCGTTGTTTTTGAGGTTAATTTTAGGTTATGTTCGACTTCAGCCAAATATTCAGTATTTCTTATCGCCTTAATTCCAGAATCTTGCTCTTAATTGTATGAAAATGTTTGATTTTGCCAATAAATAGAAAATTTTCCGGCCTAAGCTTAATAAATTCGATGTTTATAAGGTTATTGTTAGGTTATGTTCGACTTCAGCCAAATATTCAGTGTTTCTTATCGCCTAAATTCCAGAATCTTGCTCCTAATTGTATGAAAATGTTTGATTTGATCTGAAAAACTCAAGAAATATGATGTTTTTAAGGTTAATCTTAGGTTCATAACCTAGAAAATCATGATTTTTTACTTTTAAGCAAGAAATCAAAAAGAATTTAGAGTCCCGCGTTAATTTATTGACAAACTAGCTTTGAAAACGGGAAGATAAAAGATTTTCCAACACTTCCAGTTCGTTGGACATCGCTTCCTGTGGCAATATCTCCCCCTTGGGATAGAATTGTGGATTGTTTCTGTTGCTATTTCAATAGTCAATTACATAAGAGAAAAAATAACTCATGCACATATGGATATTGTGTGCAGGGAAGTTACAGTGGCTTTATAATTAGACTCTCTTTCTCTCTCTGTTATCAATTTAGTCATCATTCACGTGGTCAACAAATGCTCATCTGGTGCCTCTTCATCTGGCCGGTGCGCCGCGATCTCGCAGCTCTCGACGAGGGTGTTGATGATGAGAAATAACTCATAAAATATGCTTAGCAGCGAAGTATATTGCGCTGAGCGCAAAAATGAGTGAATATTTCTCATTCAGCGCGCCGAGATAAGACAAAAAGACTCATTGATCTTCAACTTTAGAAGCTTTGCAATGCAACTATTGCCGAGATTGTACATTGTAAGGGTCAAGACGAGACAGAACAAGGTGTATTTTGACATGCAACTCACATTAGAACTCGCGTACCTCCCATAAAGTCACACTCAATCTATGCGCAATGGAGGAAATATGATAATTTTCAATGTCAAAAAGAAAAACCCATGCAAATTCTGCAAGACTTTTTCCCCCTAAAAAGTCCTCACGAAGAGATTACGTACGTTTTTTCTTGTATTCAACGTTGAGGCATCACTTATTGAGGTCACAAGAATATTGTCCCGATTGAAGGGCACCGTAAACATCGTTGCTTCGCGTTATCAATCTCAATTGTTCTGACGCGGACTTGAATGATTATTTATTTGTAGACCAAATCAATAGTCCCGGAATCAATTTGCAACAATTGGAGATGATAATATTATTGATAATATTTAAAATACCTTCTAGCAAAATATGCACATAATTTCTCTTCACACACACACGCGGAAATCCACCAAATTTATCACCACAAAAAAACTGTTAAGAAACTCGTAATAATTCAATAGAAAAAAAAAATTGTGCGTTATTTTTATCCACAAAGGCAAATTAGTGTTAAGATTTTAAGCTTTGTCCGCGCGCGCTTTTAACGCTTCTCTCTCTTGTGAGGTGAAAATCCAAACGCCAACTGATCGGTGGCGAGAATCTCACAATAGTGCTGCTCGCGAGACTGAGACAAAATGGTAACTAACATTAGCACTTCATGACGAAGATCTCCGTGCCACACAGGCGAAGCGATTGGGTGTAAAATGCAAAAGTAATTAAGTGTAAGTTCTCATCCAACACACTAAAACATCAATTCACTGTCTCACAATTGATGGCAAGAGTCCAAGCTGGTTTGTTATTTAGAAAAACCTTCCCGCGAACTTTTTATTTTCCTCCTGCCTCGTCGAAATGTCTGTATTGCAAGCAGTTTTTCATTCAACACACGAGAAAAAGCCAATTCAATAACATCACGGCGCTTTTCTCATCACACAAAAACGTGGGCGAAACGCAGACAAGCGAGTTTCTTAATTGACTTTTTGGGGTTCTATCATTGCGTTAGATAGAAAGACTTTTGCACAAATTCCAGCGCAAATCTCTTCCACATAAGAGAATTTAGCACAAGATCTTGAAGTGTCGCGGGTTCGATTCTCCTTCAGTTGCGTGTTTTCTGCAGATCTTTTTCACTTTTCTTTCCTTTTTCGTGAATTTTCCTTCACTTTATCGCTTTATATCAACATTTTTCCCTCAATTTCTCAAAGAATTATCTCTAATAACCCAATCTGATGCTCGAAATTGTTTTTTCTTATGGTATTACAGCTTTTGTCATTGGACAATTGTTTTAGTTCATCTCTTTCTTCCCCACGCGAATCGTATATTTTCCTTCCTGCTCACGACATTTCTATGTCGAGTGTGTGCCTGCAGATTTTACGTTGGGCAACCCGCGCTGAATTTGACTTTGACGTGTCTGACAATGCGCTTGCTGTCAAAATGGTCAAAATAGACAAATTTCATATGGAAAATCGAGAAAATCGTCAATGAAATGAATTTATATTGTGGAAAAAACTCAAAAATTAATTCATTTCGTCCATAATGAACCATAATTGTGGAGAAAATCAGATTGTGTGAAGGCGCCAAAAGTTGATCTGCAGACCAAAATTCTGAAGGGAATCTGACGGGACCGAGCCGAGATGGTATGAGCAAAATGCTGTGTTTTCACCATTAGAGACAGAAAGATTTTCCCACTCTTTTCAGCACTTTTATGTGAATTTTTGGTCTTGAAACTTGTCATAAAAACTCTTGAAACTCTTCGTTCTCCACAAAAGTCGTTGGGAAAGCTGTTAATATCGCAATTTCGCGTCCTTTTCCTTCGCAGACTTTCCGTCATGAGTTCGAATCCAGCTGACGATAAATTTTTTTTCACATATTTTCCTGTTTTGTCTCTTTTTTCATACCATAATTTAACCAATTGACTAATTTGAGGAGTTTTAACGCCTCTCAGTAAATAATTATTCGTCATAAATCTTGCAAAATCTGAATACTTTCAATGTAAATGCTTCAATTTTGGCTTCACAAATTTAAAAAATATGCTTAACAATCAATTTCATGGAATTTTCACTTATATTTCCACTCATTCCTGGATATTCTTTAATATTCCAACTGAAACAGCTGAAATGATTCGTCCATTCCTGTCTTGAGAAACCCTTGGGTTTTGTCAAAAAGAGAAATATTCAATTAAGCCGAAGAGGAAGAGCTGCAGTTGGAAAATCACAGTGGAAAAGACAACAGAATTATGTAAGGAAACAAGATTTCTCACCTCTTCCATCGACTCGGACTCGTACAAGTGGATATGAATCAGCGGATCGCCCGGATCTTTCAAGAGGTACAAAAATCCATTTATCGTGCCAATCAGTTCCATGAAGTTTCCACTGCTTTTCGCCTGCACAATGCCAATCTCAAAGTACTTGCTGCGACCGTCCGGCTTGCGGAGCATTCTGCAAACGACCGACAACATTAGCATTGAGCCGAGAGATGTGTGAGAAATCATTACTTGCACATGCCGATGATGTGCTTCACCTGGTGCTTGAATTGCAGCTCGAAATCCGAATTGAACGTCTCCAGGCAGCCGCTCTCGATTCCCATGGAAAGCTGTCGGGAGAAACAATGCAGTTGAGAACACTCACAGTTCAGTTTGCGTGCTAAATAGAGCTTTAAGAGCACAATTTTCTAATTTAAGCCCATGAAAAAAGTGTGAAAAACGCAATTTTTCAAGCATTAATTAATAAATTTGACTTGATTTAATGCTAAGAACCCAAGAAAAATTGATTTGTCCAGTAAATTTGACTGTAGAAAATGTTCTGAGCTTCAAAGACAGAATTTTGAGTTTTTAGAGCATAATTTAATTTTATTCCTTATATTTTACAATAAAAAATATTATCTTAAAAAATTGTTTGGAAAATTGTATTTCATCCTGCAAAAATGTGAAATTTGCCAATATTTTCTGCTATTTGTAATTTTTTTATTTTTAAGTATGATAAACATTTTTTTAAAAAACAAGTTTTATTAAAGATATTATTTTGAAAAATTTTTTCTCTATCAAAATCAAAGAAATTAGACAAAATTGATTTAAAATTGAGTCTTGATTATTTCTAGACTTATAATTTGATTTTTAATAGGTTTAATATCTAGGATTAAAGAGCCCTAGACCTTAAGTCTGGGTGTCGTTGGAAAGTCTTCAATTCTATCTACAAAATACCAAAAATTAAGCTTGATTCCTTCAGTAGAATCTGAGCTAATTTGAAAAAGGACATTTCTGACATATTGAAAATGGCGCCAAATGGACCGAATTTCACGATTTACGCTCCCCTCAACCGAATCTTTTGCACCTTTTGATTTCATTGATTTTTTTTTGCTCTTCACATCTTCTTAATCACAAACAGAATCTGGATAATTCTAGTCGTGCAAAGTAAATATTTGCTTAACTCTAAACTCTGTTTATCCGGTTTTTCCTGTGCTGAAAAAAAAACTGCACACTCTGCAAATATTCAGCCAGAGAGAGAATGAGAATTTTTGTGTTCATCCTGTGCTCGTCATTCAGAACGACAATAAAACCTCATCCCAGCACACTTTTGCCTTCATTTCGTGCATGACAAATAAAATCCATATTATTATGAATATTCAAGTGACGCGCGAGACTCGAGTAATTACAATTTACGTTAAATTAATTTACCATGCTATGTACAGTGCTTGGCGCACATATATTTCAAAACAATTACCCGAATGAAAATCTCTCTGTTGATGATGTCCTGAATCGACCACTTGAGCATCGGGGCGGAGAAGCGCGGATCAACCGAGGCTGATCCTCGCCAGAGCAGCGAAACCAGCTTGGTTTTCATCATGCACGCCTCAATTTCCACCGTTTTTTTTCACTGCTGAGGACAATTAACCGACTTCTGCACACACACTTCTCAATGGCGTCCGCGGAGGAAAAAACAGCACAATGTTCTCACGCTTCTCGTCATTCTGCACTCACTCTCGTCGCCACCATTTGCTCAATGGCGAATCCTCAGCCTCTTGCACATCACTTTGCCACCAATTCCGCCACTCAACCACTCTTCGCGGCGGCCACAAATGCAAATTGCATTAGGACTGCGCGGATTTGGAATAAAATCAATCACAAAAACCGAGCAGGCTTTCGATATGTCAAAAAAGTATGCAATGCGCGCCTCGCGACACCCTCTAGCGGCCAACATTGCGCGCCTCTTTATGCTGTTATAGCACATCCGAGTTTATGCTCGTTCTGGCGCGGCCTTCGCGGCCCTTTTTTGTGTGCTGCTCAACGTTAAATTATTTTGCCGATTCGGACAAACATTCTAATTATAGAATTTCATGGGATTAAATAAACACTTGATTAATGGATGAGGGCGATTGTTTGGCTCACCCTCGTCATGCTGAAGAAGCTGCAGAAGAGTGGAAGCAAGTGTGAAGATTTTACACTGCCTTTCCGCCAAGGGGGAGATAAAAGTGTTCAAATATTCGCAGTATTGACTTTCTGAGTGTTTCTTGCCTAACAAGAAAGTGCTTTTTGAGGTTATGTGCCTTATTTTGGTGTGGATTTAAAGAATATTCATCTTCCAGCTTAGCAATTATTATATTTAAGGCAAAATTAGGCGTTTGCATATTGAAAAGATCACAATTCTTGACTTTTACAGTCAAAAAGCACTAAAAATCATGCTGAGATCTAACATAACCTCAAATAAACAATATTCCTGATAAAGAAAATGTTTATTTAATAAATAATTCTGGAAGATTTCATGGATTTAGAAGTTTCTTTCTAATAAAACATGTAAACAGCTGCAGAAAAAAAAATCATAAAATCATAATAATTCTTTTCTAGGTTATGTGCTTTATTTTGACACAGATTTAGTGAAAATTCGTCTTCTAGCACACCAATTCTTTTATTTTAATTGTATTTAACACAGGATCAAGCATTTTCAAGTCAAAAAGATCGCAATTGATGCTTTTTGCAGTCAAATATCACTAAAAATTATGGTGAAATCTAACATAACCTTAAATAAACAATCTTCTTGATGAAGAAAATGTTTGTTTATCAATATTTCTGGAAGATTTCATGGATTTAAAAGTTAATTTTTAATAAAATATGCAAATAACTTCGGAAAAAATCATAATAATTCTTTTCTAGGTTATGTATTCTTTTTCGATATAGATTTAGTGAAAATTCGTCTTCTAGCACATCAATTCTTATATTTAAATCGTATTTAACCCAGGATCAAGCATTTTCAAGTCAAAAAGATAGCAATTCATGACTTTCACAGTCAAAAAATACTACAAATTAAGCTGAGATCTAACATAACCTCAAATAAACAATATGCCTGACGAAGTAAATGTTTATTTTAGAATATTTCTGGTCGGTTTTCATGAATTTAAGCCTTAAAATCACCCATTTTGAGTTCATTATTCAATTGTAGGAGTTGATTTGATCCTAAAAGTCCTGTAAACTTAGCCATTTTGAGGTTATGATTAGAAAACAGAACAGAAACTCTAAAAAATTAATTACAACGTGAAGATTGATGAGTAAAGACCCCAAAAAAGTCAAGATTCTGGAAGTGTCAGGCTTATTTGTCCCTTGTTGTGTTCTAAGCGATGATTCTGGGTGTCGCCCAGACTCTCAGTGCTGTTGTGCTGTTGTAATTAAGCCAGAAAAATTCCTCATCAATTTGTGTATGGAGTTTTTGAGTAGTACAACTCCAATATTGCTCATCGCGCCAGCCAATTAGTATGTGTAACATGTACAACAAGAGACTCACACTGACGCCTCAAGTCCGGAATCCGAGGCATCGCGGCCATAAGCATCCATTCGCCAGTCTCTGGTTGATGTGTGGCGCGTCTGGTGGGATTCGTGGCTGGAGGAACATGTGCTGCAAGACAGCCAAGTGCGCCAATTAGTAGCAATAGGACTTTAGCGCAATTGCCTCACAGTTTGCATGGACGTGCACGTCTCATCTGGCATGTGCAGTGCCAATTAGAAAGCAAATTAGTAAGTCTCAGTGACAGTGTCTTCTATATCTTCTCACCCACAAAATACCTGGATATTGAGACACACAATTATAAAAAAAAAGACGACAGCGCGTGAATGTGTTAAATTCGTCTTGCGATGTCGTGTCTAATGTGTCATCATCGCGCGCTCAACAGTGTTTCAACCCAGTGGAAAATTAAGTTCAATGCGAGACAACGATGAGGCAAGAGTTGGAGAAAAGTGTGAATCAGTAGAGGAAATTCTTATCGGACAAATTCTCTTCACACTGTGGAGATGAAGAATTACACACAAGACTCGCTGACTTTCCCCCAAAAAGAAGAGCCACACTGCAACTGATCGGCTTAAGAATATTCTGTGTGCCAAAATCAAGTCGCTAAGACGTTATTTGGGGGTCAATTTGATGACTATTGAATTTATGCTTCAGCTTATCAATTAACTGTTGAATTCTGGTGAAGAGAAATCAAATAGTGCAGCTTAAGCACGTTCCAGCGATAGATTATTTATGTTCTGATTCATATTTGTGGTTTTAGGAATTTGTCACGACTATAAAATAACGTCTTTTTATACGTTTTCTCAGTGAAGAATAGATAAAAGTTTGTCTTTGTCTTGTGACACTCTTTTAATCATGAAAATCATGTGAAATTTCCACTACTTTCCTTACTTATGGAGTAGTTTGCAACACTTTGTTTTAAGATTCTCATCATTAATGGTCGATAATTGGTTAATATCGGGTCAATTTTAAGTTATTTGATCGTTTTAGTTGCAAAATTCCGTCTCTAACGCATTTAAGCATTGAATGCGCGAATATTGTGGATTCCTTCGCTTCTGACACTTCCCTTAATTTACCAATTAAGCGCCTGAGGTTAATAGCCAGAGCCAGAAGAGTCCAATTAATTCTATTACCAGCGGCACTTCGTGCATCTTCATTGACTGTGACTAAGAAGTGTGACTCGAGCGCTGCAGTCGTTACCTAAGGCTCTTCGACACCCTATCGAGCGCCATATCGGGGCTGATTTGTCGTTATCAGCGCCAACTATTATCTCGGCGTATTGGTTGGAGTGGAAAGTGTGCTAAAGTGTGCATTCTCTCCAAATTCACACGATATTAAAGGTCACCACGCCAAACAAGTGTCTTTATCCCCACATTTTTCCCCCAAAGAGAGAGAGAGAGAGTGAGTTGTAATTTTTCCACCCCACAAACCCCAACACACGAATTTATCAGACGAATTCTTCTTGGAAACACGCTGTTTTATCAGTATTTTCTCGCTTTCTTTGCGCGCCTCTTATCTCAATCACACTCGCCGCTTTTTCCGCGCTCGCGTGTGTGTGTTTGTTCTCCAAATTCAATCCTTCATGACATATTTTCCTTTAATTGTTGGCTTCAGAAGTCAGATTTATTGCAATATTTTCCCCACGATGAACTACATTTCGCAACTGATGGCATTTTGTCACACTGCACAGGTTTGAGAGAACAGGTGAAAGCTTAAGAAATGGCAACGAATTTGCGACCTCTGAAGATCACAACGGTCGGCGATGGAATGGTGGGAAAAACTTGTCTCCTAATAACCTACACGCAGAACGAGTTTCCGGTGGAATATGTGCCGACCGTCTTCGACAACCACGCTTGCAATCTGGAAGTGGACGGCAAAATGTACAGCCTCACGCTCTGGGACACAGCTGGTCAGGAGGACTACGAGAGACTGCGGCCGCTTAGCTACCCGAATGTAAGTCAATTCTCAAGACATCAGCCAGATTCAGTGTCTAAAACACAAGATTTCCCGCATTTTCTGCCATTTCTAGACTTATTTTGCCGTTTTTGAACTGCTCAGTGGGAGTTTTCCTATAAATTGTGAGGTTATGAATCAGAATAATAGTGATAAAATGAGTTTTTGAATCAAATTTCTTATCATTTCTAATCTAAACATCTTAAAAACTAGCTTCTAGGTTATGTTTTTGAAAGAATATGGTTAAAATCGCTGTTTTTCGTATCTTTTTCGGACATAACCTCAAATATCATTGAGAGATTTTCAAGTAAATCAAAGAGAATTCAATTCACACCCTTTAAGAGCAAATTTAGATGGAATCCACGTATATTACAACTTGTTAATAAGCTTAGAAAGAACATAAATCAGGATTTAAAGTAATTTTTTGAGGTTATGTTTGATTTCAGCACTATTTCTTACCGCAAAGGCTCTAAAATCGCTTTTTTAATCAAGCACAAATGCTCAATATTCTGCTAATAATCAATAAATAACTGAATCTATCTTTAAACAACTACATAACCTCAAAATATCTCTTTAATCACCCGAAATCAGGTTATTTAATGACTGAATTGTGTGCCTTTGCAGACGGACTGCTTCCTGCTATGCTACTCTATAGAGGGACGCACGAGCTATGAGAACGTGATGTCCAAGTGGTATCCGGAAATCCGACACTACTCGCCAAGCGTGCCCATAGTATTAATTGGTAACTGACGCTCAGCAATTCAAGCCAAGCGCGCGACTCTCAACGCCTCTTTTCCGTCCGCTTTGCAGGAACCAAAATGGACTTGCGGACGCCGGGCTCGGAGAAGTTCCTCACGTTCGCGGACGGCAAGAAGCTGAAGTCGAAGATCCGCGCGTACTCGTTCATCGAGTGCAGCGCCAAGAAGAACAAGAACCTGGACAGCGTGTTCACGGAGGCCGTGCGCGCGGTGGAGCAGAAGCCTCGCGTGAGCCAACGCCTCTGCACGCTCCTCTAGGGAGCCGCCAGGGGGCGTTCTAACGCACACTTTTCTACAAAAAAACAAACCATACAATCTTCTTAGATAGATAATAACTAGTGCTGGTTTAGATGACAAAGTTTTTGTGCCAATATGACAAATATTGACGCTGAGATGAAGAGAATTAAATTCCTAGTCAATAAAGACAATCATTTACTAAAAAAAATAAGTGTGTTTTTTGGCTCTCGAATGAGAACATTTCTATGCATTCAATCTGTTGAATCATCAGATTCAAATCTACATTGAAATTTATTTACTTTTGTGCTAAACTTAATAAACCACAGATTTTTGCAAGGGGGAGATAATATAGTCAGAAGTGGTGTACAGCTCAGAAGAAGTACTTTTGTAGTGGAAATGTTCGAAAGCTTAAAGTATTCCTTGCCTGAGTGCTTATTTTACTAACAAATGATGTAAATTCTACGGATTTCCTCCGATTTTCACGCAAAATCAATCATAAAAATCTTTTTTTCTAGGTTATGTAACGAACAAGAAGAGATTTAGTGAATAATTCACATTCTAGCCTAACAATTCTTATGTTCAAGTCAAAGAGATCGCTATTCATTGGCAGAATTAAGCATTTACATGCAATAAACAGTAGTTTTTCTGAACCTTTGATGTCAAGAAATAATGCATATTTCTTGAACTCAAACATAACCTGAAAAATAATCATTTAGACTTGAAAAATGTTCAATTTGAAAACTTCTGTAGACCATTTTGACTCTGAATCAGCAGTTTTAAGTTCATTGGCAAATCATAACCAGATCGTTTTGCGATCTCGAATATTTTGAAATGGAGATTCTTAAGATCTCTTAGTTATATTTTGAGGTTATGGTCAGAAAACATGTTCAAAAATGCGTTTTTGAATCGCTTCTTAGAGAAATATCGAAAGGAAACTTAAGAGATTCATTATAGTTTGGAAATTCATGTGAAAACCGTCTAAAACTTCTAGTTCTAGAAGTGTGAGGTAAATTTGGAAGTTTATGGAAGTGGTGAACAAATTTAAGGCATTATTATCTCCCCCTTGGATTTTTGCTGACAAAGAGAGTCCAAATGCAAGTCTTCTTCGTGATTCATGCGTGAGAATGATGAGCTTTTCATGCTGAATTCTTTCTTTTGTCACTTGAGTGAAATTGACCTTTGAATTCCACTCAAAAATGCCAAATATTTCCTGCAATTACAGTTCTTTAATCATCACAAGGGGCAGATATTACGGTCGGAAGTGGTGTACAGCTTTTGTGGAAGTGTTTGGGAATTGAAAATGGCTAAATATTTACAAAATTTGCATAACAAAAGCTTCAATTTCAACTAATTTAGGCATTTTCTGCATAATTTTACTTAGATTAAATACATTTTATTGCTTTTCTAGGTTATGTGATTGATTTAAAACAGATTTTGTCGATTTAATAACTCTCAAAGTGGTCAAATTTGTGATTAAGCTGGGATTATTTCTCTTTTTCCCCACAGAATGGAGCATTTTGATCGAAAAACACTTGATATTAACTGAGAAACTGCTTTAAAGTCGATCATAACCTCAAAAAATCAAATTTCAGTCTAGAAGAATGCTTCTTTGTTTAGTAATTTCCGCAGTTTTTGCTTTAAAGTGATAAATTCAACTCTTTTCCAGGTTTGAAAAGATCTAAATTAGTCCAAAAAGGATTTTCAAGCCGAATTCCTAACCTCACAATTTGGTCAGAATGTTTCAAAGCTTTTCCGGAAGGCAAAACAGTATGAGAAACAGTTAAAAGAGTCTAAAAAGCGATGAAAAATGCCTTTAAAGTGTCACATTATTGCTTCACAAGGGCAATTCTAGTGTTAAATGAAACGCAGTTTTGGGTTAAAAAAAAAAGTATATTTTCCATTAGTGCCACATCGACTAAACATAAAGTGATAATTTTTACCTTTGAACGCTACAAAGTTCATAGAATCTTTCAATGATTTACGATTAATTTATGTGTTTTTCATTTTCATTTGGAATAGAGAAATAAAATATATATTAAATATCTCTAAGTTTAATTATTTATCATATATATATATATTTATAATCAATCTACAATTGAGGGGTAAAATATTCGGATTTCTTTTTAGTACTTGTTTCTAAATTCTTTATGTTCCATAAATATTAGTTAAAATTTTCTGCAAGACTGGGATTGAGACTTGTTTGGCTAAAATTGATAACTTTATCAACTCTCTCTCTTTTGTTTTTCTCTAATCAATCTACTTTCTGGAATCTCTGGAATAGTCAAGTGGATTTTCCTCTCAAACCAAATAGCAATTAGGTATTCACAATATCTTTAATAATGTTTCAACCACACTAACGCGTAGTCTTTGCAAATCACACAATAATAACATCAATGAATTCTACTTCTCAAAAATCAAAAACACCCTTCGGAGATCCGCCCTTAGTTCTGCTCTTTGGGCCGCGCGCCGCCCTCCTCGGCCGGGACGCCGTTCACGGTCACCTCGGCGGCCGTGACCGCGGCGGGAATGTAGGGCGGCGGCGCCGACGTCTCAGCCAGGACCGTCACGGCGGCGGCGCCTTCCTCGGAATGCGACGCGCCAAGCGCCGGACTGGCGGGCGTGGCCGTGGCCATGGCCACCTGATAGGACGGCGGCGGCGCCTGCTTCATGCTCTGCGCGATCGCCTCGTCATAGTCCGGCAGCAGCGAGCTGTAGTCGCGCTCCTGCAAGAGAAACACAAACATTTCCGTGAATTTCCAGTGGGAAAACAGTGAAATTTGTGTAATTTAAGCTCAATTTGCGTCTATTTTCCATGAATTTAAAGTCATTCTATCCTTAATTCGCATTTCAACGAAAGAAAAACATAATTTAAATATTTATTTAGTCTTTTTGATCAGTTTTTGGCGTCCTGAGAGAATTTTGTTTGGGAAAGTGTCATTTTAAACGCTCTTTTCCTTTATTTTTTCGCCAATATTTTCTAAAGTTCTTTATCGATTGCAAAAATTAGCACAGATTTGGAAAGGTAACTTCATCGCCTACAACTTTCTAGAATATATTAGAGTCAAAAAATGACCGCAAGATGGAGTTAATGATCCATTTTTGACAGAAGAGTTCTTTTTCTGCGTTACTTTGGAAAAATATTCACACTGGCGCCATTTTTCAGCGGATTTTTAATATTAAAGACGTTTTGGAAAGGTGATTTCACAGCCTACAATTCTCTAGAATATATCATTGGTCTCAGAATGCATCTTAACCTGATTTCAAGGCTCTTTTTGAACATGCACACTGAAAACTACTCATAATTCCGCCCATTCCGCCATTTTTGGGCGAATTTTGAAGAAATCTAACGCTTTGGAAGGAGAAAAAGACGGCCTACAACTGCCTAGAACACATAATTCATTTACCTGGCGATGAGAGACATCGGGAATGATATATGGCAGCATTGAGCGCAGATTGTGTTGCCGCATCGTGAGATATTTGTAGCATCGCCACACGATGCCGATGGCGTAGGCTTTCAGCAGAACCACGCCGATGAAAGCCACCAGGACGACAATGCTGAGCGTCTGCGGGCTGAGCTTCAGCAGCTCCTCGCGCCACGGGAACTTGTGGCTCTCGGCGATCAGACGGTGAATCGATCGCAAGTAGCACAAATATCCGGCGGCAGTTAAGCTGCAAAAATCAAATGCTGGATCAAAACCTGAGCCTTTGAAGCTCTTTAATCGTCAACACTCACATCGTGATGGCAAAGTCGAAGAGCTGCAGGCAGAGGAAGGGCAGCAAATGCGAGGGTTTCCCCTTGATGGCGCCAAAGATCATCATCAGCGTTATTGCGACCATGCAAATGCAGACAAAACTGCCCATATCAACATTTTCTACAAGGAAAAGCCATTAAAATCCGTCACCTTGAGCGCGAAATTAGCACTAAAAACGTACGATAAGTCAGTGAGTGATCGCGAAAAGCGTACGGAGGATCGATTTTGCTGAGCGGCGTCGGCAAGGCGGGCGCCTCGTCGTCTAGCGTCGTCACATCCTCATAGCCATTCTCCAACTCCTGCATCATCACGGGATTCCGCATGATCGCCGCCAGCACGGCCAGACACAGCAGATTCAGGCACTGCAAGAGAGAAAACCTTGTACTTTCCATCTGGAATGCATCAGCACACAAAGAAAATACACTCGCTTAACCCTTGAACGTCGATTTGGTCACAGATTTTCTGCAGAAAGATTCATTTTCTTGCTTTTATTTAACATTTGCCTTTGTTGTGTGGCAAAAGAATGTGGTTTTGTGGAAAGAAATACAATTCAAATCAATGAATTCAAAGGATTTTTAGCACTTTTGAGTCTAAAATCGCATTATAACTTGAAATATAACCTCAAAATTTCTGAAAATCAAATTTAAACTGTATTTTCAGGTGACTAAAACCACAAAATTTAAGCTTAACACGAGAAATCAACAAGAAAACAGCCTTAAATTGTCTTCCTGAAAGCCTAAAATTGAATGTACAAAAGTGAGGTTAGTTTTATCCTTCCGGAAAGGGATTTTTATTGATTTTGATGCTTTTCTTCACTGATAATGTGATGTTAAGTGCTTCTTGGGTTGCAAAAAGGGATTCAATGGCAAATTTCTGATGATTCGACTGCAGAAAATCACGAAATTCCACTTCCGGATATTTCCGGAAAGTGTTTCACGCTCGGTTTCACGTTGAAATTGTGATTAATTTATGAAATACTTTGTAATTAGAGGCTTTTTTCGTGGTTATTCCCATTTTATGAACTAATTTGTTCGTTTAGTCACCAATTAAGCTGTTTCCCTTAGATTTAAACCTTATTTTTACCCAAAATAACCGCAAATAAGTAATAAATATTGCCAAAAATAGGTAATAAATTCTTTCCTGACCAGAAAAATGACCCTAAATCGTCTTTTGCGCTGAGGAAATGTGTCATAAGTGCTCAAAAGGGACTCATTTATCTCTTTCCCAGCGCAGTTTGTTGTTCGCGTTGAAGGGTTAATGAATAATGCAACTCACCAAGTGCCAAACGCCAATGATAATTGTCGCCGTGCGAACGTGCAGACCGAAACAGCAGCTCCATTCCTTATTTCGCGATGGACCCATTTTGATTCTGATCCTTAACATCTCACAAAATCCCCCTGAAAGGAGGAATTGAGGTGTTATTGTGTGGCCAGAGAGAACTTCCTCCTCAAAGGTCAACTTCGCAGTAGAGCAAATTCAGCAGTTTCAGGCACAATTCTGCTCCTTCTGCAGATCCTTTGGGTGGCACAGGAAATACTCACTATTGCTTTGAAGTGGCAGTTCTTCGATGCACACAAATTTGTACGAATTTTTCCAACTTTCTCTCCAATGGACAAAAATACTCTGAACGTCAATCTTCCATTTTTCCTCTCTTGCGCGTTCCACATTTATTCCACAAAGTGCGTCATTCGTCAGTTTCGTCAACACTTCGCGCATCGCACGATGTTAGACACTTGGATGGGCACAAAAAACTGTCTGTTTCCCAGGTTTCCCATGTGCGTGAAGGAACATTTGTCGGTGTGAAAATTTTCACGGCACTTTTGCGGTGTGTTTTGCACGTATTTGAGCCGGAAAACCCTTGAGATTAGCTGACAAAGTCACTCTCGTGATGGTGTTAACCAAGGAGTATCGAATTTGTATGCCACTCAGTGTTGAAGAGGTGAGACAAATATATTTGTGTACACATTTTCTTGATAAAAAATCACACACAGATAATGCAGACGGAAATCAGTGTCTCATTTCTGCACAATAAATTGCATAAAAATCGTCGCGTGACACAAATTCCTGGCAAAAACTGCCCAGAAATTGCATCCAATCAATCAATACAAATTCCCTCCCATAAATCGTCCTTGGAAAGGATATTCATCCGTCAGAATCCGCAGGTTGTGAATTAGTCAAATAACACACTTTTTATTGCACACACATCAAGATAAACCGTTGATTACACAAATTAACACTTTTCTGTCACTGTTTTTGAATGTTTCAATTTTTTGGCAGTTGCGCGAAGCATAAAAACCCTGTTTTTCCAGCAGATAGAGAAGAAATATCACTTTGGCATGTATGGGGGAAAAGCATCCCCTAAATTGCTCTACACATAGGAGAAATAATCCAACAGAAAAGTCTTTTCGATTCGGAGAAATTTGATTTTTCTACCTAGTGCTTCACAAAAGATCATTTTTGAGCAACAAAGAGTGATTTAAAATTCCCATGATGTATTAGAAAGTAGTAGGTAATTTCAATAGCTATCATTTGAGCCTAATTTGAGGGAAATCCGTGGAAAATTGGGCGAGATATGAGCACATAAGTGCGACAAAGTGGGGGACAATGGAAAATAGGCTCTAAAAGGAAAACTTGAGGGTTTAGGGGCAAAAGTGAGGTACCGTTGGAAAGCTGATGACTCGAGGAATCAGAAAAGCAACATTTTACATAATTGAACTTATTCCGCAGTACCAAATCGGGCAGCTGTACATGATTGCGCGGCACAGCCTGGAGAAGTCCGACAGCGGACAAGGAGTGGAAGTGGTGGAGAATGCGGAGTGCGAGGACGAGGAGCACGGCAAAGGACAGTTCACAGAGAAGCGCGTCCACTTGTCCAAGTAATTGCAGTGGAAATGTTGAGCTCATTGAGTGAATTATGGACTAATTAAAGTGCTTTTTCAGTCGCCTTCCGTACTGGATTCAGGCTGTCTGCCCGCGAGTCTTCTACATCACGGAGAAAGCGTGGAATTACTATCCTTTCACCATCACAGAATACACGGTGAGATATTTGATACTTTAAGGGAAAGAGGAGGCAGTTTTGGACACTCAATTGCAATTGAAACTGTTGGAAATTGATGAAAATCCTGCAATAATACAAGATTAAAACAGTGCGTTGAAAAGATCGACACTTATCGATAAGAATTGTGAAGAATTCTCATTCTTAACCTCAATTTTGGAGTGAAAAATAAGTAAAATCGTCAGTTTAAGAACGAATTAATCCATTTTAGACCTATTTTCCCCCAAAAATTGTGTAAAAAATGAACTTACATGAAATTCGTGTCGATAAGTGTCGGTAAATGTCGATAACTTCAATCTCTGCAACGTTAGAAAACTTATAAATAAATATTTCAATGGAATTTCCAGAATATATCACTAAATCTGATATGAAAGTTTAGGAAAATAACTGAAAAGCATTACAAAAGGCTAAAACTCGGGTTAAAAACGGAGTTTCTGGGATTTTTAAGCGTTGTTCAAGCTTAAAAAATATTGAAATATGCTCTAAAATGCCTAATAAAAGCTGAAATTTATCAAAAACCCGATGAAGAAGGGAAGGAAAATTGTTTTAGGGTCAATATGTGGTTTTAAAGTAAGAAATCCATGTCCAAAAGTGCCTCTCAGTTCCCTATTTAATCAAATACGACTTCTTCACTGAGTCTTTTCGTCCTTCGCAGTGTTCCTTCATACCAAAGTTCAGCATATCCATTCAGACGCGCTACGAGAACAACAACGGAACCACTGAGAATTGCCTCAATCTGCCGCCCGAGAAGCTGGCGGAGCGGAGCGTGGATCACCTGGACATCGCCTTCGAGGAGATCGACCAGAAGCACTACAAGCTGGAGGAGGATCCGAAGCACTTCAAGTCGGCGGCGACGGGCCGCGGGCCGCTGATCGAGGGCTGGCGGGACCACGAGAAGCCCATCATGTGTTCATACAAGCTGGTCAGCGCGTCCTTCGAGGTCTGGGGCCTGCAGACGCGCGTCGAGGACTTCATCCACAAGTGCATCCGCGACATCCTGCTGCTCGGCCACCGCCAGGCCTTCACGTGGATCGACGAGTGGTACAACATGACGATGGACGACGTGCGCGCGTACGAGAAGTCCATGCACGTGGAGACCAACGAGAAGGTCCTGCAAGGAACCACCGAACAACCCGAGAGCCCGACGGCTCAGAAGTCCTTCGATTAGGCTCATCAACACTAGCGAATTCGCCACAGTACAAGCTTCTATCTGGGTATTTATGTATAGTATTTTCTCAAGAGTCTGCAGACAAATTGGAGCTTCGCGTCTGCATCAAGGGGGAGATAGTGTGGCGAAGATCTACAAAAGTGCAGCATTTGACTGCATTCTGACTGCAATCTAACTCAAATCTAACTCAAATCTAACTGAAAACTGTCTAATTGAGGGTTATAGATGATATTTTATACTTTCTTTCTTCTAATTCAACTGTTTTTATGGCTTTATTCTCGATTAGAGTCTCGATTAGAATATAAAAATTGAGGTTATGTTTGATTTTAGCGCTTAAATCATTATTTTCATTGAGTGCAGATGCGAAATTCTACTTATAAGTAGGAAAATCTTCATTTCAAGTGCAATAATTCATCTTTAGAAATGTTATTTAGTCTTAAATAAAGTCACATAACCTATAAAAATTACCGAAATGAAGGCCTGGAGAAGAATTGATTTGTTATCAGTGAAAAAATCAATAGAAATTCAAAGTGTGATGGGAATATTGCAAATACTGAAACATTTTCTAACACAAATTTCCCAAACATGAGCTTAACGGCCACAATATCTCCCCCTTGGTCTGCAAGATTTAACCAAAATTAGTAATAAATTGTAATGTAAACCAGTGAAATTTGCCTTCATTCAACTCCACTTCGCCTGCGGAGCGCGGAAAATCCATCGCAATGAGGTGACGTTATCATTATTATCATGTCTGTTGGCGCGAAGATTGACTCTGCGCCGTATTTACGCACCTTCGCCACGTTTCTGGCCACCGAACGCGCCAGTAGATCAACGACAATCCGAGATGCTGGGCCTGTGAAGAGCATCTCGCCATCCGTCATGTGGTTTCGTGAAATAATCTTCACTATTATCTCTGTGGATTTTGCATTGAGGTAACAACAAGAGAAATATTATCACTTTATTGTGCATTTTCCTGTGACAATTAAACTTTATTGGGTCTGTTGGGGAAATGAGTTTGATAAAGTTTCTGTGGCTGTGCAAGAATTCTGAGAGATACAGAAAATTATCACACGCGATGTGTGACAATTAACACCTTTTGAAAAATCCCATTTCCATATATATAATATTATTTTCCTTGGCGAGATCGCGAGCGCGAGAGAGAAAAGTTTCCCCTCCCAAAGCATTTTATTTACCTTCTCATCAGCAATGTTTACTCAATGCCTAAAAAAAGACAACAATTAATCGTTAGCGCAAAGCCATGTTCTGGTTCTACTTTCCGCGCCACAATCGCGAAAGGAAAAACAGCTGACAAAAGGTGCTTAATTTGCAGCTTAAATCAATTCTACTCCTGTGACGAATGGATCGCGCTGAACAATCACACGAGTTCGCAGAGCAATTGCTCACTTTACGGCATCTCGGCGTACTGCACGGGAAATCTCGAGGGGATCAACGACATCCGGATGAAGATGGTGGAGAACATGTGGATCTGCCGCTTCCCCAACAAGACCTTCGATCCCTTCCACATCCTGCGCCACATGACGCAGCTGCGCAAGCTCCGGATCAACTACAGCAACTTCACGCACTTCAGCAACGACTTTCCCGAGCTCAAGCACCTGGAAGTCGTCAATGTGACCAACACGGCGATGGCCTACACCCGTCCTACGCTCTTCCGCAAGCTGCCCGCGCTCAGATACTTGGACTTGAGGGGAAACTGTCTGGACCACATGGAAGGACCGCTGATCCTGAACAGTGGATTCAAGAAAATGTATCTTTCAGGTGAGTTCTGAGGGTTTTGAGGCCTAGGCCAGCTAGTCTAGCTGTCATAGGATGGAAAATCTAGGCAACAACCTTAGAATCCCAGTTAAAGGGTGAAATTTTCATTTGAAGACTCTAAAAATTGCATAGAAAAGAAACATTTGATCTTAAGTTCAAAAATCGAAAAGAACTTTTCGATTTTGGCTCAAAATTAGTTTAATAGAAAGATAAATTCGGTTAAGAACCTAATAAAAAATCTTCATAGTTTCTTAATTTAATAGAATTTGACAGAATTAAGAATCAAATTCGTAAAATTCAATCTGACTAACAAGACTTAAGATTAGAATCAAAAATATTGAAAACCTAGTCTTTGATCGGAAAGAAGACAGAAGAGAAGTAAGAAGTAAAAAACATTTGCAAAAATGCTGTTTTAGAATAGATTTCTACACATTCTGTCCAGAATCAAACCGGGATTTACTAGCTAAATGTTCTGCTAATTTATTAACGAAATTCTGTTCATGATTCAGAGACAAAATGCTATTTTTAAAGATAAAACTAGCTAAATAATTAACAATTTGCATTAATCGTATAAAATTGTTGGGAAACGAAGTGTAAATTTCTTGAATTCTTATCAATTAAGATTATTTGGAGACTTGAAAACCGGAAAAACTGACCAATTTCCGTCCAATGGCAGGAAACAAGTGGAATTGCACGCGGAACATGAAGTGGCTTCTGACGTACGATGAAAACGGGCGCGGAAAGCGCGTGGCGGACAAGGACATGATGCGCTGCGTGGACTTCAAGTACTCCGGACGGCCTCTGCTGGCCGTGATGGACTTCAAGATGCAGATGCGCACGCAGTGCAGCCACCCGGACATCCTGAACTGCTCCTGCGTCCTTCACTACATCCGCCCAAGCGACGACGGCGAGTACTTGATCCCGATGGTCACGGTGAACTGCAGCCATCGCGGCTTCCAGGACCTGCCCGACTTCCTGCCCAAGAACACCACAATCCTGCACATGACGCACAATCGGATCAGCAGCGTGGAAGTGCTGCGCAAGAATCCGATCTACCTGGAAGTTCACGATCTCTTCCTGGACTACAACCAGATCGAGTCCATTGACTTCCTGGAGGCGTCGCGATGGCTGAACAACTTCCGCGTGTTCAGCCTGCGCGGCAACCGACTGACCAAGTTCTCCAGCCACATCCTGGACAATGCGCTGGAGCGGAATCACCAGGCGATCAAGCTGCACCTGAGCGAGAATCCCTGGCGCTGCGACTGCCTGTTCACGCCGCACTTCCAGGAGCTGCTAATGAAGTACCACACGATCATCAAGGACTTCAGCAACATCACGTGCAAGTACATCGAGGGCGACGGCAACTTCCGCACGTCCGTGATCACGCTCAATCGCGGCGACGTGTGCAAGCTGCCGTCCGAGTACAGAGTGCAGCCCATCGAGCTGCTCAACGGCATCCTGGCCTTCCTCATCGTCCTGATCCTGGGCAAGCTCGCCTTCGACTACTACCACTACCGGCGCTACGGCCGCGTGCCCTGGATCGTCACGAAGCTGCCGTGAGAGGCTCGAAAAAGAGGCATTTTAGCGCCTTTTTTGCACTGACTGTTGATCATTAGATAATTCGAATGGAGACGTGATTGAAGCGACACGAGTTTGTGCGCAATAAATCTCTGTAAATTACATTACAAGCTTTTTATGCTTCCCAGATTTCCCAGCAAAAACTCACAAGTTCAACACTCAGAGAAATCCGCATTGATTTTCTAATCAATGATAAGGAAGCGATAAAAGAATAATCAAGCTGTTCAAGCTGAACATTTGAGCATACATAACAAATTATTAAATTAATATTGATAGAAAATTTCAGACACAGTTTAGAAAAGCGCGCCAAGCGCTGCTGCCGAATGGAAAAATGGTAAACAATTCTCAGAATTCACCATAAATCGCTGAATAATACTTCTCTAAGTAATTGACAAGCCCTGTTATAGGAAGAAATGTATCCTAAACTTCCTTCTTATGCTTATTTCGCTTATTTACAAGCAATAGATTCAATAATTGCAGAGGAATGCATGCATTTGTGCATTGACGCCATCAACGCTTCGATCACTGACCTGTGAAAATCCTTTTTTCCTGCCTCTTTTGGTCATTTTCTCTCAATCCTCGAAGTCCTGCAACATCTCCAGGCTTTGCACTTCATCTTTCACAGAGATTGAAGTCAGATTTCCCGCAAATTATGTGGAAATTCTCACAAAACTACCTTTGCCAAAGATTGAGCGTCTTTTCGACCTCGAAAGAAACCATCAGAACAGCGTTGGACATTTCCAGGTCAAATTCCTCTGTTGTACAAAAATCGCGCAACGGGGAAAGAGTGCAGAAAGTGAGGTTAGGGAGTGGTTGCCGAACAGCTGAGAAGTTGAGAAGTGCAGGAAAATGAGGATTCCGTCGGTTGCGCTGCTGAACCGGGTTCCGCAGCAGAATGAGGGCAAGGTGCCGTTCAAGGAGATGATGCCGATGCGCCTGAGGGACAGCGTGAGTGGCAAAGGTGGGCAGGACAGCAACGTCGCCTGTCTGCACGAGATGTCCGTGGTGTTCGCCTGCCTCAAGGGGGCGGACTTCAACGAGAGTGCCTGCGCCAGGGAGATCGGCAGCCTGAAGAAGTGCTACAAAGTCTTCCTGGAGACGAAGGCGAAGAACAAGGCGGAAGACAAGGCGGGAACTGTCGTGACCGGGAGGAATTTGAACTACAAGCAGCTCAACAAGTACCTCAGACTCTTCCCGCAGCCCAAGTGAGGCTTTGGGGCTGTTGGATTGTTAGGCATAAGGATAGTGAATAAATTGCAGGTAAAAATGTTTATTTCCCATGTCCCAATGCCCCTAAATTGCACCTTTTTCCCCATTTTCCAATATTTTTACGCCTTTCCGGAAGACTGAGCTTCACAGCTTGGACTCCGTGAGCCAGCCGAAGGCTTGCTGCTTCCGACCAGCGTTGGGACTGATGATCACGTTGATGATTGTGGGTCTGTCCTTGAGCGTGAGTGATTCCTTCACCGCCTTCTGCAGCTCCGGAATCTCCCGGACGAAGAATCCCTTCTGGTTGAACATCGTCAGCATGTTTTCGTAGTGCGTCTCGACGGTCAGGGCAGAAGGAGGCGTTCTGGAAGGGGAAGAGAGATGATTTCCCTGCCCTAAAGAAAGGGGAAGATGAGAGATTCTTACACTTGCGTCAAGTCTCCGTCGCTGCGCATCGTGTCGTAGCTTTCCTGGTCAAATCCGCTGTAGATTCCGCCGTTGTTCACGATCACGATGACGATGGGCAGTTTGTAGCGGATCATCGTCTCGATCTCCATGCCGGAGAAGCCGAACGCCGAGTCGCCCTCCACGCAGATCACGCGCTTCTCCGGACAGCGATCGCGACAGAAGAGCGCCGCCGCGATGGCGAATCCCGGCCCGACGCCCATTGTGCCGAACGTGCCGGCGTCCAGGCGGTGTCTGGCCAGGGAATTGTGCAGCATGGATCGGCCGATGTCCATCGTGTTGGCGCCCTCGCTCACGATGATCGCATCCTTGGGAATCAGCTGCTGAAGATGATGGAAGACGGCGTAGTAGTTCAGCGGCACGCTGGCGTCCTGCGCCATCTGCGCCACAGTCTTCTGGTTCTTGGCGCACTGATCCTTCAGCTCGCGCCACCACTCCCGCTGCGCCGTGAACGTGAATCTCTTCTGCACGAGGCGCATGAAGAGCGCCTGCACGAACGGCAGCACGTCCGACTGCACAGCCACGCGACTCAGCACGCTGTTGTGCAGCTCCTCCGGACACAGATCCACCTGGATGACCTTCACGTCGGCAGCGAAGCGCGGCGGCCGCCCGAAGTGGAGGATCCAGTTGAGACGCGCGCCCAGGAGGAGAATCACGTCGGCTTTCTGCAGCGCCAGCGTGCGCGCCGAGGCGACGCACTGCGGCGCCGCGTCCGGCACGACGCCTTTGCCCATGGGCGTGGCCAGGAAGGGCAGATTGGCGTTCTGGATGAGCTTCCGGACGCTCTCCTCGGCTCTGGCATAGGCGGCGCCCTTGCCGATGATCACCAGCGGACGCTTCGCCAGAGCCAGCAGATTCGCCGCTTCCTGGACACTCTTGGGCTCTGGATGGCACAGAGGCACTTCTGGGCAGCTGTAGTAATCCACGGTGGAAGCGGAGACCTTCGCCTGGAGAATGTTTCCGGGGAAATCGAGGTAAGAAACTCCCGGACGTCCGAAAGTGGCCAGACGCACGGCTTTCTCCACGTGCTGCGCAATCAGGCTGGCGTTGTGCGGCCGCGCGGCGTATTTGCAGTACGGCCGGCTGAGCTCCACCTGCGGACACTCCTGGAAGCCGCCGATTCCCTCGTGATCCACCGAAGTGGAGCCCGCGATGACCAACAGCGGCCAGCAATTCACTTGGGCGTTCGCCATGCCGCCGCAGCAGTGCAGCAATCCCGGCCCGGACACCACCAGACACACGCCCGGCTTCCCGGTGAGGTAGCCGATCGCCTGGGCGGCGTAGCAGGCCGACTGCTCGTTGCGCATCCCGATGAACTTCAGCCCGGCCGCCTGCATGGCCATCGACAGCTCCACCACGGGAATCCCAATGATCCCGAAGACGTACTCGATGCCCTGCAAGGCATTTATCGTGAGACCCTCTTGACCTTTGACCCACAAGATTAGGCGCAGATCAGGTGAAAGCCCTCGAGAAATTTACCTGCTTCCGCAGCGATTCCGCCAGGATTGTGTTTCCGTCCACTTCCGCCATGACGCCAGGGAGGATTTGGGCTGTTTGGAGTGCAAATACAGGGATTTATCTGGCTGGGAGTGGGATTATTTGCACTGCCTGGAGAGAAAGCTGATGACTGTTGATAAGCTCGCCCGGTAGCGAAAAACTCCCCATTGTTTCCCATCTTTCAACGGACAAAGTCCGCGGAAGTCGCTGAGAAGTTCCCAATTGGGCGTCGCTGAGTTTTCTCGGGTCGCCCTGTAAGTGTCAACGGGCGGGCAAAAAAGACGGTTTCACGAATTGTACAGCAGAACGATGTGAATAATTGATGTTTTAATTAAATTCCCAACAATGATACCACCAAATACTAAATGCTGGCAGCTCATTGTGCTCTCTGAAGTTACATTGTGGCAGGATTTGTGTGTACTTTGCGCTGTGGCGAGTGAAATTGGTGTGCTTGAGGCGATGGCGTCAATTGTCACAACAGGATTAGTTTTTCCTCAAGATTTCACCCCAGTTTTCTTATCTTTCCGCCACTTGTCGACCAGAGAAATCCCTGTGATTCCAAAGATTGGACATCTGACAGGCTTTTTAGTGCATCGTTGGGAAAATTCTGTGTGCAGAAAGTGGTGGGAAAACAATGTGAAATTTTTGGGGTTTTCTGAAGGGAAAAACAAACGGTGAGGAAAAGGTTGATTATCCGGAGGTGAATTTCTCTTTATAATCCCTTAATCTAATTCCCTGGCATTCTGTTGTCCATCTCGAGAGAGAGAGAGAGAGGGAAATACTGTGCGAGACAAGAGGAATTTTCACCCAATTTATCCTGCAAACTCATCGAGAGACACGAATTTCCCAGCAATTTTCCACTCCGACGAAGTTGAGATCATGACTCATTAATTCCATTAACACTCTCACCTTCGTCACTTGTGTGATGATTTCCCAGGATTTCCTCCGGAGAATCCGCTGTGCAAATGCTGAGAAAATGCATTTGCGAATCGCCGAGGAAATTGGATGATTTTTCTGCAAATTGTACAGCTTTTCAACCCTTTTTTCCCCTTCACAATTCCATGGATTGAATTCCGCCGGCGACGAGGAAATGTGAGTACTTTTCTCCATTCTTTGCTCTTGTTCAATATTTGAGGACGCTTTATAACTTCGTCTTGTCCTGAATAACAAAAAAGACTATTTATAATTCAAATCAATTGAAAACCCTCCATTTTTGGCCCCAACAGAAAAAAAGTCCACCGCGTTTTTCTAGTTTCGCACCAAAGTTGTGCATTTACACAGTAAACAATGCCGGAAAGTGGAAAAAAAACCATGAATTTTAGAAAATATCCAGATGGCAGTTGTACGCCATCTTTTTTTCCTTCCAAAGCGCCCAAAACGTCATTATTCGTGAAAATCTACCCCAAAATGGCGGAATTATGAGTAGTTTTTGGTGAGCGTGTTAAAAAGAGCCTTGAAAACAGGTGAAGACGCATTCTGAGACAAATAATATATTCTAGGGAATTGTAGGCTGTGAAATCACCTTTCCAAAACGTCTTTAATATTGAAAATCCGTTGAAAAATGGCGCCAGAGTGAATATTTTTCCAAAGTAGCGCATAAAAAGAACTCTTCTGTCAAAAATGGGCCATTAACTCCATCTTGCGGCCATATTTTGCCACAAATACGTTCTAGAAAGTTGTAGACAATGAAATAATCTTACCAAAACTTTGAATTTGCTGGAAATCGAACAAGAATTGTGGAAAATATGGGCAAATTAAAGATTTAATCCACAAATTGAGCTTTCTTCACACATTTTACACTATTTTTGCGCTGTAAACTTTCGTTCTAAAAGCATAATTTGTGGTGAAAAGTATTTGTTTACCTCGTAAATGTAGAGAATGGGCGTAAGAGTTGAAATGTTATCAATTCGATGGGCAGAAGTTTGGCACATATCGATCAATCCCGTGTCATTTATTATTGATGGTCGCTGGGCAGGAAAAAGGCGACTCCGGAGGTGGCAAAAGAACGAGAAGAGAGCAATTTTCTGCTCACGTGATGACACAACATTAGATTCACTACATTTTCCCCCGTATTAAGTGGCCATAAATATGCCAATTGGCAGCCGATGCGACGGCAATCTGAGAGAGAGAGAGAGAGAATAATCGACGGGTGAATGGAAAACTATGAAAAGCCAAAAATGCAATTTTTCAGCAAAGCGTTTTCAAGATTTCGCTTCAATATCGCGGCAAAATTTGCCAAATTTATCTTAAAAAGCCTTCAAATCGTCCGTTAAAGTGTAAATATTGCAAAGTTTTTGTTATTTTGTAAATATTTTAGTTGATTTTATCAGTATTTATTGGAATTTTTCACTAAAATATGGTGAAATTAATGGAAAATCTGAAAATTTTTATTTTTCAAAGTCGCTTTTTATTAATCTTTGAGTTGATTTTATCGAAATTAGTTCTAAAAAATCAATTTTTCATACTTTTTTGGACTTTTCCATAATGTTTTCAAGTGAAAAAAATTCAAAAGATATGAAAAATATTCATTTAAAGTCTAAAGAACATTTTAGAATAATTCTGAAAATCTACAAATATTTTCTAAAAAGACGTTTTATGCATTTGACTGCAATTTTTGAGACATTTTTCTTGGGGAAAAATTGTTCAGCGTAAACAATGAAAATTCGACTTTTCATTCGCAAAACATGAGAATTTTTTTCCATTTTTTTCCATAAGATACAAATCTTAAAATTCTTGTACAGAAAGAACAAATAAGAAGCTATTCAAAAATACACAAGGCGTAAATTATGAAAAATCGACTTTTCATAGTTTTCCATTCACCCGTCGTAATGCAAATGCCATTTAAATCATTAGGCCACTCAGTGCAGATTTATGCTAATCTCCGTCCACATGAAGACTCACAAATTGCAAATGATGTTGACTGGGATGGAAGTAATTTTCCCCACAATGAAAATGACAACATTACACAGCAGATTTTGCATTTTTTTTCTATCTGTAATTCTCAAGTAATTCTCAAGTAATTCCCTCCATAAGTGATTTGCTTTGTAATTCAGTGTGAAGGTGTATTTTTCCTTCAAATTGCACTCAATCTCTCTTTGTCTTTGTCGTGCAATTTTCCATCAGATTTTCACCGGTGCAAATGAGAATTTATGCGCGCACTCTCAACATGACTGTGTGTGTGTGTGACAAAATGTTGGCGTTGACTTCGAGATAACCCACGACTGTCGCTTTTTGAACATATGCAATAAATCCATAGATAATTTATCAAGCGCAGATACAGATGGGCAATAAATGGAGTCAGCCAAGTGTGAAGAAACCGCAGAGACGAGCCCAAGATTCTGAGGTCAGTTTTCTGCCTCCAGAAATCTTAGAGATTGAGAAATCAATCCGCCGGCTTTTATGCACAGACGCACTTAATCGATTAAACTCACTCCGTCCGGATTATCAGCACTCGCGCTATCGCATTTAGTCATATTTTACAGGCTAATTCTTAGACGCGCTCAGATAGTGCTAATCTACTGGATTTCTTCGGAATCACTAATAATTCAACACTGGAAGGCCTTTTGGGGGGAATTTAACCGATAAAATGCCACAATTCTCGATTCTTTGAGTGTCAAAAGAGCTGAAAATTGAGTTTTTCTAGCAATTCTTAGACTTTTTCCCAGTTAAACAGCCCAAAAAGTCCGTAATTCAAGGGTTTCACATATTTGAAGGTAGAAAATGTGATGAAAACTGAATTTACTGGTCGAAATGAATCGAGTTAAGTTGTTTTAATTGACAATTTAACTTGCTTATAACAATTCCAAAACTTTTAATTGAATGTTCTCTGAAGCTTTGAAGCATTTTTGATGGGATTTTTGCAATGTTTTGCAGTATTTAAATGATATTTTTCACAATATGCAGTTTAGTTTACTTTTATTCGTCCGTTTTTGGGTCACAGATCGTCAAATCGATTTTATCTTGGCTGTGTGATAAAGCTTTATCGCAATGCAAACTATCTGATAATGATGATTGGCATTAAAGTGGGCGGGGCTCTCGAGTGGGCGTGGCTTCTTAGCCACTCTTCTGCGATTTATTTCTATACAACTAATAAGTTAAGATGTTTTAATTGACAATTTAACTTGCTTGTAACTTAATGAATGTTTTCTGAAGTTTCAATGCATTTTTGATTGAATTTTTGCAATATTTCAATATTATTTCAAATTACTAAATTAACAGTTGCCTTGCTTTGATGAAGCTTTATCGCAAGGCAATCTATTCACTTTCCTCTCTTCTTCTGTCAAATAATGACGAATGACATTGAAATGGGCGGGGTTTTCGCGTAGGCGTGGCTTCTCAGCCACTCTTCTGCGATTTATTTCTATTCAACTAATAAGTTAAGATGTTTTAATTGACAATTTAACTTGCTTGTAAGGATTCCAATACTTTTAACTGAATATTTTCTGGAGTTTCAAAGCATTTTTGATGAGATTTTTGCAATTTTTTCGAAGTATTTCAATATTAGTTCAAATTATTATATTATTAATCCATTGCCTTGCTCTGATGAAGCTTTATTGCATGGCAAACTATTCCCTTTCCTCTCTTCTTCTGTCTAATATTGGAGATTGGCATTGGAATGGGCGGGGCTTTCGCGTGGGCGTGGCTTTTCAGCCACTCTTCTATGATTTATTTCTACACAACTAATGTCCATGACTACTTTTTTTCCGTGGACTGAACTTGAAGATAGCGTAAGCGTTTAAAGTGGCGACAGATTGTTTAGAGTATGATTTAATCGCTCGTGTTTACAAGACAACCTCCTATCTAATCCACTCGCACAGCCGCTGGGAAAGAATAACATGTTCGTCATGCGGCTTTTGAGCTTGGAAAGCGCAGTCGGAATTTTTTATTAAACTTTCCCTCTCGCGCACGCCGCGAAGAGTGGCGGCGAAGGGGCTTTCCGAAGGGGGTTTCGAGGGGTTCCCAAGGGAGGGAGAATTAATGTGTGTGTGGCGAATTGGCGTGCGGGAAAACTAGTGCTAAATCTGGTGAGACGAGATAATGTGGCGAGTGGGGAGGATTTATCTATTAGGTGACACAGAATGTTGCGTGGTGAGCGAAAAAAGCTTATCGCGTCGTCTTCGCGCGAGTTGAAAGTGTATTAGATGAAATAACAAGTGCTTATTATTCATTTTTGTGAGGTAATTCAACACCAGAAGATGATCATGCTGTTGTTTTATTTTTTTTCTTCTTCTCATTTTAGTATTTTTGTTGGCAAAACAAGACGTTTATTGAATTTCTGGGGTATTTTGTGGAATCAGTCGGTGTTTGTAGCAATTTGGATGGAATTATAATATTTTCTTGTGTGCCAAGATCAAATTTCTCCTCATCGGTTTGACGTTGTCGTTCGGAATTTCCTCTCTCGCGTGCGCGTCTCCAAAGAATAAACAACTTTTCAACCGAACCAGAGCCCAATCTTATCCCCCCACAAATTCCTTGGAGAGAATCTCCAACCCTTCTCGTGCGGATATTTATTTAGCCAAAGATTCAATGATTGGCATGATTGCGTGCTCTCACGATAATCTCCATCCTATCTTTATCGCCCCTCCTTCAGGGCTCAGTTCCTCTGCCAACTCTGCACACGCATCTCACGCCGTCGCTTCCAGCAGAAACTGTTGTAAGTCCAAAATGGAAGTTTTGCAGTTTATTGTGAGGAAAATGAGATTTATCGAATTTTTTTCGCCTTTCTGAGCTGTTGTTGCTCAATCTCTGTTGTCTGGATGAGCAGAAGATTCTTCAGGATGGATTATTTCTTGCAGGAAGACACTAAAAACACAGAAAGTCCGATGGCAGAATTGAATAACTTCCTTCTGTCCAGAAGCTCTTCATTGAAGTCATTCATTCATTCATTCATTTTTATTTTCATCCTTCCGTGAACAAGGAGAGTAACGCGCCATAGCCCCTAGGGGCTGTTTTGGCGCTGTGTCGGTGCGGCGCATAATCTGACAGCGCTAGCTGCCATATTGCGATCTGCATCTTGCCTGGACCTCCTCTGGGGGAGTCCCAAGCAGCCAGTTCCTGATCGAGGCTCTGCTGAGTGCAACACCCTCGCGGTCCACACTATTGATGACTGTCGGTGCGGCGTAGTTCACCGATCTCTTGAAACGCTCCGACAGCGGCCTGGGAACTATCAAGAGCTCCCTTCCCCTCAACTCCGTCGTGGGGCGGAACAGACCGCAGTCAGGCCTGAGACCGGCCTGGGCGCTCAAAAAGGCACCCACAATCCTGGACACAAGAAGATGTCCCAGGGGCAGGATTTCCCATTCCTGGTACAGTGGCCAAGAGTGGGCCCTCCGGCCGGCGCGCGCCATTACCCTTACGATGGTCTTCTGTGTTCTTGTCAGCGGGGATAGATGAGTTTCACACGCGTTGCCCCAAATCAGAAGGCCATAGCTGAGTCTCGATTCCGCCAAAGCGAAATAGATGACCCGCATCAGATGCTCCGAACACAGCGCTCTCAGTGAGTACATCTGACGGGCAATGCAGCGCAGGTCACTGGTGATACGGCTGATGTGTCCCGTCCACGTCAGCTCCGAGTCCAAGGTGACGCCCAGGTACTTGAAGGTCGGAACACACTCTATGGGCAGGCAGTCCGCAAGGCACGCATCAGCAGCGCGAGTGCAGCGTGAGGAGTGGCACACCAGGTCACCGCCACCACCGAGGCCTCCTCCGAAGTCCATGCGCACGGTCTTCGAGCTGAGGATCATGCCGTTGGCCTCGAGCCAGCTCCTGAGCGCAGAGAGGTCAGCATTCATTTGTCGCTCAACATCATCCCACGTGGCACTAGAGTAGACAAGGGCAACGTCATCGGCGTAGGCCGTAATATGCCCCTCCAGTGGGAGAGTGAGTAGACCATTCACATATATCAGGAACAGGAGCGGCCCAAGAACTGATCCTTGAGGAACGCCAAACTCACAAGTCACCGACTCGCTTGTACAACGCTGCCCCAGCTTGACTCTCTGAGTGCGCCCAACAAGGTAAGAGCTTAGCCAGCCATGCGGGATGCCGCGGAATCCCAGAGCATCCAGTCTACTCAGGAGAGTGTCCAAATTCACGGAGTCGAAAGCTTTCGTGATGTCAACAAAAAGCGCCCCGACGCGTCTCCGAGGTCGCTGGTTCAGGCACTCATTTAGCTCCACCATGAATCTTCCCAGTGCGTCCTCGCAGCTCAACCCCGCCCGGAAGCCAAACTGGGCGGAGGAGAAGAAATTAGCAGCATTCAGGAAGGCAGTCATCCTGGAGTAGACCACTTTCTCCATCACCTTGGATAGGGCAGACACCAAAGTGATGGGCCGGTAGTTGTTGGGCAGCATTTTGTCACCCTTCTTGAAAATAGGGACAACGAGCGCCGTTTTGAGCATCTCCGGAAAGACCCCCGTTCCCAGGGAGAGATTGATCGCGAAGGACAATGCGTCCATCACGTGCGGGGCGACTCCTTTCAGCATATTATTTGAGATTCCGTCCATTCCCGGAGCGCCGCCAGACCTCAAGCCCCTGATCACTCGAAGCACCTCGAGGGGCGAGGTTGGTCTCATGAAAAAGGTTGACGAAAACGCTATTTTTCTTCTCCGTACGACGTTTCAAGACTGCATTTTTCCTTTCTCAGGACTACAAAGTACATTGATGAGATGATTTTCACAAGAATTTGCTACAAAATGTCTGCAAATTGATCAGTTCGCTCCATTTGATTTTGAGTAATTTTCTGCCGTCCACTCATCATCACCAACTTGAGAAAGTTGGTGATTTTGTTAACGCCAAAACAATCTTTCTTCTTGTTGACATTCCTATTTCGCGATAAGAAGATGTGTAGAGCCTCGAAAGCTGCCAGTTTGACGTCGTTCTCTTCTCAATTAATCAGCGGAAAGTGCAGATTTCTTGTCTTTCTTCACTTAGAAGAGAATTTCATGCAATTTCTTGGTTTTCTACTCGGTTTTTGAACACTAAAATGGCCAGAAAATCCTGTGTTGAATAATTAATGCGAAGGATTTTGACTTCTTCCACGTACAATTTCTGCAAGAATCACTCAATCGACGAGTAGATCTACAATGCGTAATTTCAGGGGCGACGATATCTATGGCTGTGTGGCTGGAAAAGTGTAGGAATCGTGAGGGGCACGTAATAAGGTTTTCTGGCTGAGAGTACAGCGGCAGCAGCACTATGGCTGAGTGTAGTAACAAAAGTATAGCGCGCGTTCGCTCCTCTCCGCGCTTCTGGCTGTGCGGAAAATGTTCACATGAGGTGCTCTACTGAAATCAGTTGATAGACGATATTTCAACTGGACGGAAGTTGTGCGCTTCTCTCGGCGCGACGAACACTTCTTCACGTTCTCGTGCTGCGGCTGAAAACAAAACTGTGCGAACGAAGAGAGAGAGAGAGAGTGACGTTGGTGCGAATGATAATTAAATTAAAATAATTTTAAAGAGAGTTTTCGAGTGTGTGAATTTTGCTTCCGCCCGCGAGAGAGAAAGAGAGAGAGAAGCGAATTCCTCCTTGGGGAGCTTTTTTGCCTTCTTTCACACCACTTCTTCTTCATGCTATTTTTTTTTTCTCTTTGCGCCCATTGTAACACCTTAAAAAGTGTGGATGAATAATACTTTGTGGTAAATACACCTTTGTGTTGTTTTCTCGCACCCTCTGGTGAGAAAGGGAGTCGCGCGCGCGAGGTGGATGAGCAAAAAGGGGTTCATTCGCGAGGGGGTGGCGAAAAAAGAGAGCGCGCGCGAGAAAAGTTGGTTCAACAAGGATTTCAAGTGCGAGAGGAGATGAAAAATCAAAAGCTGGATGATTTTTCAATATAAAACCCGAGTTTTTCGCTACGAAAAGCCCAGTCAAAAGCACGACGCGAGACAAAGTGGAAACTCCGTGGAATGTGCCGGGGTTTTTTTCCCTCCTCCTCCTTTCAACCCCCTCTCGAAATTTGTGTGAAACAACCAAAGATTGATGTGTGATAGCATTGAATTTGAGTGAATTCGCCACAGGAAGGACACGAGAAATACATCCAGTCGCAGAGTTGTCTTTGTGGACATGAAACCGCGAATTTAATACCATTTATTGAGGTAAAATTCCTTGATTTATCCCGAAAAAAAGTGTGTGCATTTGTGTATCTCAAAAAGAGTCTCATTGCAATCTGACTTCGGCATGACACATTGAAGGAAAGGCAGTCGAAGTGTAGGAGAAAAAATAAATTGTGGTAATTTTTTATCTTATGCGAAAATCAAATAAACACATTCACACTTTGGGTGTATATGAATTTGTACTGTAAATAAACTTATAATATATGACTCAAACAATATATACTTATGTATAATCGCTGGTGGATATCGTTTTTAGTCAGAGAGAGAGAGAGAGACGCTCAGAGTCGTAGTGGAGAGATTAAAATGATATCAAGCAATATAATCTGGGCGTTTAGTGTAAAGGAAAAAAACGACCACAGGCAGCAATAAGTGTATACAATGGCAAAGAATGCGATTTGTCGTGTGATAATTTGAGTGGTTATTTGATGAAAAATCGCGAAATGTTGGGAGATTTCAATTAAAATTACACTGATAAGACATTTCAGTGGACAATCCTTAGTAAATCCATGGGAATGTCCACTGAAATGCCGAATTGATTAAATGTTCTTCTTTAACATTGATATATTCGTCTCTTTAGTGTATTCTGTAATTGTGGCAGAGCATTTTCTACAATTCCTACACTTTCCCTTTGTCTAGAATATGTGGTTTGCCGGAGTGATTTTCCGCATGAGTAGAAAAGGAAGCAAATAATCCGCAATATTGCCACGGTTCCTTGCATTTGCTAATTAATCGTTTAAGCTTCCAATGCGTCGCATATTGAATAGAAAATAGATCAAAATAGAATTGATATTATCCAACAATTTCATTGGACAGTCGTGCAATATTCTATAAGAATGTCATTGGACAATAGTAAATTTACATTTTCTCCAAGAAACCAAATTGCGACATGCAAAGTCACTTTTCTAATGGAAGAATGGTGACAAAAGGTAGCAGAGAAGTTCGATTGAAAACTCCTGCACTTTGTCATAAATGGAAAATGTGTGTTCGGTGGAAAAGCCAACATTTTATATACAAATTGCTGCGATATAAATAATACAAATTGACTCTCTGGCGAAACATGTGAGCTGAATTTGATGATAACATGGAAAACTGCAACAATGACACGCTGAGCGCGTATTTTCACGATGTTTTTGAGGTGGAAAAGTAAGATGAAGTGAATGGGGGAAAAAGCTGTTATCGAGTGTCAATGAAAGTTCTTTAATATCTTAGACGAATTGCACAGAGAGTGAGAAAGTGTTGAATGCATATGGAAAAGTGTCTTGTCATTCGTGGGACGAATTGTTGACACAGTTTTGTTGGAAGGTTTTTTCTTACATTCTCATATTTCTGTCTTTTCTGCCAAGTGTTAATTCAATTGGATTCTCTTTCTCTCTCTCTCTGTCTTTGACGTATTTTGTGTGTCATTTCGCCACATGTGAAGCCTATTTCACCTCCCAATTCATACCTGACGATTATTGTAATTGTCTTAGCACCAAATTTCGTTTTAATTGCCAAAATTCACATTTACGCTCGCCCAAGGGGGAGATAATATGCCTTCAACACTTCAGACACTTCTGAACGCCTTCAAAATGCATTTCAGACTAATTCAACTGCTTCTCACAGTCAATTCTAACTTTTATCACAAGCTAACCTAAGTTTTGCCTTCCGGAAATGCTTTGAAACATTCTGACCAAATTGTGAGGTTAGAAATTCAGCTTAGAAAATCCTTTTTGGACTAATTTAGATCTTTTCAAACAAATCTTTGAATGTTTTTACAAGATAATGAGGTTGAATCACTTTAAAGCAAAAAAAAAAAACACATTCTTCTAGACTGAAATGGGATTTTTTGAGGTTATGATTGACTTTTAAGCTTTTTCTCAATCAATATCAAGTGATTTTCGATCAAAATGCTCAATTTTGCAGAGAAAAAGCGAAATAATCGATGATTAAGCACAAATTTGACCACTTTGAGAGTTATTAAATCGACAAAATCTGTCTTAAATCAATCACATAACCTAGAAAAGCAATAAAATGTATTTAATATCAGTAAAATTATGCAGAAAATGCCTCAATTTGTTGAAACTGAAGCTTTTGCTGTGCAAATTTTGTAAATATTTAGCCATTTTCAATTCCCAAAAACTTCCACAAAAGCTGTACACCACTTCCGACCGTAATATCTGCCCCTTGCGTTCGCTTTTTCATCAGCACCTTCAGTGGATAGACGTGGAGATTCTCTTGTTATTCGCCTCACAATCGCGTCGTAGAAGAAATTATACACATCCTTTTTGGCGTCTCTTAATGGGCCAATTTATTTTTTGAGTGTCTTCACGATGTCTTTCGGTAATTGATAGAAATTGAAATGTTCTGGGAAATTTGCTTCTGAGCTATTGAAACATCTCCTTGAGATGCACAGTGATTAAATCCAGCTTCTATTCAATGGCTTCTCATAAATATTTACATTTTGTGTATGAATTGTGTGATATTTATGATGTTCAAAATTCTCCCCGAGAGACTCGCGGAGTCTTTTTCAATCCGCGTGACTCAGAATTTTTGAAACTCTTTTGATTTTCAATTAGACAAATCTTTGCCGGGAATTATATTGCAAATAATTATGTCTGGATTCCCAAAATTAATCTCCGCCCGAGCAAATAAGCTGAGGATTTGACAGAGATTACTCGCGATTGTGGAATGTCTGGAATCTCCGTCAGAAATCTTATTTGTCGTCTATAAACTAACACAAGCACTATAAAGTCACAAGCGGCTGAAGCTCTCGAGTACACATTTTACATTAGCATGTAATTGCGAATTGAAGACATCTCTCAAGAGTAATATTATCAAAAAACATGTCACGAGAATTGCCGCACAGACACAGAGAATATTAAAGTGACTTTGCACAGAAGTCTTTTCATTAATTTAATAATAATGTAATAAGAATTATTTATCATTGGAAATTCCGCGTGGATGTTTTCGAAGTCATGTGAAAATTACTCCTCAAGTTCAATGTGAAAAGAAAACCACACTAAAGTGTGTGTATAGGAAGCATCAAAATTGCAAAACTCCATCGATCGTGAATGGCAAAAGGCTTATTATTGAGGCAGATCAAGGGAAAGTTGATAGGGCTAAAATGTGTACACTACAATTAATATGCAAGTTCAGAACTTTTGCAGTGCATCGAAAAATGTCTTTGCAACTTTACTTTAATTCGTACAAAGGTGTTGCAAGATTGCGATTCATAACATTTACGAAAACATTTCAAATGTTGACGTTTCAAGACAATATATTTCATCGCGTGAAGACAAGAAGAGCCGGAAAATTCACGTAAAAACCAAAGAAATAGACAATATTCTGTCCAAAAACACCCTAAAAGAGGAAATTTCACACTTTTAGAGTGTCTTAAAGAAATCTCAAAGAAATGACATTTTGACAGCTGAAATTCATATGAAATAAACTCCCAACTTTCCTTTGCAACGCCTTCCAGTTCGTATTTCATTCGTGCTTTCGTTTGGTGGTGGTTTCGTCCAGTAAAATAGGTTTTATTGTCTCAAAATGAAATTTGGGATGCAGATTTGCATCTGGCATCCCGATTAATGCAGATTTCTATCAGCTGTTTTGACAGCAGCGCCAATAATTTTCTCTTCAGAATTTTCCTACATTCTTTGCTGATAATTTAACCAATTTATTGAGAGAAGAAAGTGTGAAGTGAAGAAGAGTTAAAATGACAGAGAAAGTGGAGCGAAAAGATGGCGCCACTTTTGACAAGCAGAATCTGGCAACCCGTTCAAACACTGTCAAAGCAAATTTCATCCGATTGGTGTGAAAAAGCCTTAAGAAATCGCTTCAAAACCAAGTTTCAACACACTTGTGTGAAACTTTGAACGATTATTTGTGAAAATCTTCCTTTAAATACTATTTTGGTCATTTTCTACCTTTAACTTTCTTTAATTATTGAGAGATTTTGAGTAATTGCGCCTTGAAAGCTTTCAAAGTTAAAGCTGAGCATTAGTTTTCTATTGAAAATAATTGATTTTGGAGGTTCTTTTGCCATTAAATCTTTGTTTGAAACTTTAAGATTGTTGAATTAGACAAGAAGTGTTGGTGAATTACACTTTCGCTGTGTTGTACACCACTTTTGACCGTAAAAACTCCCCTTTTGGGGGGGAGGAAGATTTGTATGGCGAAGTGCGGAGTTTAATGGCCATGAAGAACAAGAGAAATGACGGGAAAATGAGTGATTCTTGGCATAGAGGAAAATGAAAGTTAATCATCTTTTTTTTCTGCCGTGACTTCTCACACCCCCTCGGGAAAGTCATCGAGTGGTGGCGCAGAAGAGGGTGGGGGGATTTTCTGGCTCATGGGAAGGGAAAGAAGGAGAAAAAATGAACACAGTTTGTGTATTTTAGTGAAAGGAAAATACTTAAATACGGGGATATTCGTAATGAGAGCGGCGTGGAACATGAATAATTTTCCAACTTTTATCAGAGATTTCAACTTGGCAAACAGCCGAGGAGGAGAGCGAGGAAATCACCATAGTAACTCTACATTATGTGCGCCCCGCACTTATGCCTATATATATATATATATATATATATGTATGTATGTTGGCTGGGTAATATAAAATGGGAATACATGAACGCATTGGGGAACACATCACGCTACTACAAACGTGTGCCAGGCAAAGTTCAATCAAGCGATTCTTCTGCACCCGATATTAATTAGATCGGGAGCCAACATTTAAATTTAATTTATTCTCCCGTATTGTGTTGTGTGGAACAATGTTTATTAAATCACGCTGGTGAGTGTCAAAGTTTGCTGATAAGCGACGCCGTGGGGGTGGAAAAAGGGCGAAGTGTACACGTTAATTTTCACCTTTTCTTGCGAAGCTTCCGAAAGCCACGAACTTCCTTTTCATGCACAACATTTCGCGTGAGCTTTCCATTCAACCCCCTTGAGATGTGAGGAGAGAGAAGGACTTGGACCAAGGGGCAGATATTGTGGTCGGAAGT